TGCATATAATATACTATATTCTTAAAATAAATTACAGAAAGAATGTCATTAAGGAAATCATGAGGAAGAGAAAATACCTTTACAGTATTTATTGAAAAAAATACAGTTCAAACTGTGTTGTTTGAGGATCAACTACACACACACACATACACACACACACACACACACACACACAGAGGAATATTATTCAGCCATAAAAAAGGCAATCCTGCCATTTGTAGCAACCTGGATGGAACTTGAAGGTATTATGCTAGGTGAAATAAGTCAGCTAGATAAAGACAAATACCTCATGATCTCACCTATATATGGAATCTAAAAAAGAAACAGAGACAGATATAATGTACAGCATTGTGGCTATAGTTAATAATACTGTATTGGATATCTGTAAGTTGCTGAAAGAGTAGATAACAAGCAACAAAAATTTTGTAATTATGTACAGTGATGTACGTTACCTAGACTCATTGTTGTAATCGTTTTTCAATATATACAGATATTGAATTGCTACGTTATGCACCTGAAACTAATATAATGTTACATGTCAATCATATTTCAATAATTAATTAGTTAGTTAATTAATCTAAAAGAAACAGGAAGCTGAATGGTGTTGCCAGGTGCAGGAGGGGGAAGAAATGGGGAGCTGTTGGTCAAAAACACAAACTTTCAGTTATAAAATGAATAGGTACTGGGGATCTAATGTACAACTTGGTGATTATAGTTACAATAAAGTTGTATTGTATACTTGAAATTTACTAACAGAATAGATTTTAAATGTTGTCACCACAAAAAAAAAATGGTAACTATGTGAGGTGATGGATGTGTTAACTAACTTGATTGTGGTAATCATTTCACAATATATACATGTATTAAATCATCATGTTGTACACCTTAAATTTATACCATTTTATTTGTCAATTATATCTCAATAAATCCGGGGATGGGGAGAAATAGTCCCCCAGTAGGTTATGCCATAATTAAAATATCCCAAGCTCTCACCAGGCCAAGGTCTTCCCTGACCTTTCCTTCTCTCTGACCTCCATTCATTCCAGCCACATGGTTCTGACCTCGCACTGTCTGCTCCCTCCACCTGGAATGTCCTTCCCTCCATGACTCACTTGCTAATTTACTTCAGATCTTGATCCTAACCTCAGAGAGGCCTTCCTTGACCATCGCTGCTAAAAGGGCACTCCCACTCTTTGCTGTCTCCTCCCCTGCTTTATTTTTCTTCACTGCCCATGCTGCATCCTGAGAGTGCTTATCTGGTGGTTGTCTCTTCCTCTTGAGATATGAGCCCCACAGGGACAGAGACTTGTCTTGCTCACTGTGGAATCCCCAACCCCTGGCACAGGAAACATTTCTATCTACCTGTCCATCTCATTTTTTAAATGCATTTGAAAGTAAATTGCAAGCACATAGCAAGCGCTCAGCGAGTAGCTTTTGAGTGAACAAACACAGATCAAGCTGGCCACGCACAGGGCCCGTCCACTGAGCCCTAGATATGTAGGCCCCCCTAACATATTCAAACAAGTGGGTGGACCTTTACACATATTTGCACCCCCCAAAATACCACAATAATGAATTGGCTGCTTATGGCAGGCCTTTTGTAAGGTTGTGGGAAGGCAGTGGTAACCAAGATGGACCTAGTCCCTGCTCTCCCAGAGCCCATAGACCAGGGAGAAGAGACAGATACGAAACACATAGTCACACGAATGAATATAGAGCAGTCTCCCCGTACCCACAGCGGATACGTTCCAAGACCCTCACTGGATGGCTGAAACTGTCAATACTACTGAACCCTACATACACTTACTATGCTTTCCCCTCTGCATACACGGGGGAACCCCCAAAATCCAGAATTTATTTATAAAAAATTGTGTATTTATTCTTATCTGTTTAAACTTCAGTCACCTTAAAGTACTCTCCATTTAATGCACTGCACTTTTTGAGATGGTTTTTCCACTGCTCAAAACAGCTTTTGAACTTGTCGATTTTGATGCCTTTTAGTGCCCCTGCCATTTTTTGTTTCACCTCTTCCACATCAGCAAAACATTTCCCTATGAGGAATTTTTTCATCCAGGTAAACAAAAAAATGTCACTCGGGGCAAGAGCAGGTGAATAGGGAGGGTGGGGCATGGGGGTCATGCCAACTTTGGTCAAAAACTGCTGAATACAATGCAATGTTGGCAGGTGTACTCATAAGTCATCCGTCATAAAATGGTCAAACAAGTTGAAAGTGTCTTAAAAAAACTCACTGAAGCCGAATGCAGCCTCTCACAACAACACCAGTTGGTGCACTGAAACAGATGGGTTCTTAGAACACTCACCCAGCAGGGGAAGCCTGTATACTACAAGGGGGCCGCCCTCCATAAAATAATGCTGGGTTTTTATGGGTTCCCCTTTGTAAATACTTATGATAAAGTTTAATTTATAAATTAGGCACAGTAAGAGATTGACAATAATTAATAATGAAATAGAGCAATTATAACATATACTGTAATAAAAGTTATGTGAATATTCTCTCTCTCTTCAATCTCTCTCTCTCGCTCTCTCTCTCTGTCTTCCTTTTTCTCGATAACAGAGCTGATAAGCCATGGCTACTAAGTGACAAATGGGTGGGGAGTATACACAGTATGGATACACTAGACGAAGGGATGATTCATGCCCCAGAGACTGCACAAGATTTCATCATTCTACTCAGAATAGCGTGCGATTTAAAACTTATTAATTGTTTATTTCTGGAATTTTTTATTTAATATTTTTGGGCTGCAGTTGACCATGGGTAATGGAAACACGGAAAGTGAAATCGCAGATAAGGGAAGACTGCTGTGCCATGACAACCCATGCATGCGGCTGAAGAAAATGACAGAGTGTTGGGGGTAAATAACGGGACGTAGATTAGACTGGGAAAGGCCAGGTCGTGATGCAATAGAGAGGGGATGTCGAGACCAGGCTGAAACATGTGCAGGAGGCAGGGACAGAGGGCAGCAGGAAGATGCCCCAGGCTTGCTAGCAAGGGACAGAAGCCTGGGGGCAGGGACGGGAGGGTCAAGCAGACATGAGGTGACATGAGGCAAGCTGTCTTGGAGTTTTATCTTGAAAGGTTTGGGGCAAAGGAAGGAAAGGGTGATTTCGGATTGAGAAACATTCCTCTCGCTGTGGACAAGTTAGAGGAAGGGAGGGTGGAGGCTGGGAGACCAGGCAGGAGGCCAGAGCAGAGGTCCCAGGGGAGAGAACAAGGCAAGACCAGGGTGAGGTTGTAGAGAGAAGAGTAGGGTCAGGTGGAAGAGAGGTTTGTGAAGCTGAGTTCTTCGTGGGACTAGGTAACCTACTGTCGGGTGAGGGATCCCAGAGGACCCTGAGGGTCAGGTTTGGGTGACAGGATGGATGCTGAGGCCATCCCTGAAATGGGACACAAATGAGACAGCTCAGGGAAGCTGCTGGTAAAGAGTCCCTGAGCGCCAGGCTAGAAAGCTGGGAGCTCACCTGAGGACAATAAAGAGCTAAGGTCAAGCCCTGGCTGGTGTGGCTCAGTGGACTGAGTGCCAGTCTGCAAACCAAAGGGTCACCGGTTCACTCCCTGGGCAGGGCACAGGGCTGAGTTTTGGGCCAGGTCCCCAGCTGGGGGCGCGTGAGAGCTAATCGATTGGATTGATGTATCCCCTACACTTCGATGTTTCTTTCCCTCTCTTTCTCCTTCCCTTTCCCTCTCTCTATAAATAGATAAATAAATAATTTTTTTAAAAAGCGCTAAGGTCAAGTAGGGGAGGGAGAGAGTCAGATGTGAACTTCAGAAACATCCTTCTGGATGGAAGATGGTTTGAAGGTAGCAAGAGTGGAGGCAAGGAGGCCAGGGAAGAGGCCAGGGCAGGGGGCTGGCGGGAAAGGATGGGGCTGGACTCAGGGATGGGAGAAGGGGCAAGTGGGAGAGGCACCAGGAGGCTTAAAGGACAGGACCTGTGAGGAGCTGTACGGATAACAACACACAAACAGAATGATTAAGAGCAGAGAGATGGGTGCCCAGCTCCTTGCCCCCCACACAGACACACAGGCTTATAGAGACGCCCATGTACAGAACACACAGGGGCATGGAAATGGACATGCAGCAGAACCAGCGCACAGGTACCAAGTCTGCAGGAACCAGGATACACAGCCCCACTGGAGGGAGACTGTTACGCAAGTGTGCAGAGAAACAAACAGATGGCGTACAAACAGCTGAGGGCACCCGGTCAGCTGTCATCGCCCTGTGCAAAGATCTGCAGGGCATCTTCCCTCTAGCCTGCTAAGTAGGTTCAATTCTTATTCCCATCTTACAGATGGACAAACTGAGGCCCAGAGGCCAGTCACTTCTAAAACCACCAGTTCCTGGTAAGGCTGGGATTCCAGCCCAGGTCTTTGGTCACCCTCTGGGGCGCCCCCACAGGATACACTAGGGTGCCCCAGCGGATCTTTTCTGCTTGAGGCTGCACATCTCCCTGAGCACACCGGGATGTGCACCCAGCAGGTGCTCTCCCAGTGCTGGCTCCTGAGGTTTCTCCAGGAATGGAGTTCCTGACCTGGCTTGTCTTGAGTGTGTCCTGTGGGCTGGCAACGTGCTCCTGCGTGTCTCCTCCTGTCCCAGCCTCTGTGTGTCGATGACATCTGACTGTGTGTGTGTGTGTGTGTGTGTGTGTGTGTGTGTGTGTGTGTCCTCGTTGGAGGAGGAGGAGCTGTGAGTGTGAGAGGAGTGCCTCGCTGGGGCTGGGCTGGGGGTGGAGGCCGGGGAGGGAGGTATCACACAGGCACAGGCTGAGAAGGGAGTGGAGTTCTGGAGGAATGTTTACCCGACACCAAGAGAGCCCAGGGCGACAGTTCCCAGAGTCTGGTAGAGAGACACGCAGCCTCGCCGCCTCGCTGGCCCAGGCTTAAAGGCGAAGCCACCAGGGCCCCTTCCCCTCCTCAGCCTCGCTCCAGGGTCCCTTTAAGATAGGGCTGGTCCTCTCCTCTCTGAGTTAACTCCTCGAAGTCCTGGTGGCCCCCCTCGGCTCCCAGCCCGGAGGGTGGAGGCAGGGGGAGCCAGGGGCGGGGAAAGGGCCGCCGGAGTCTGGGAGGGAGAGGAGGAGGTCGGGGAGCAGGGAAGGAGACCACCGAGTGGAGCCGGCAAGGAGTCCTTCCCCTGCCGGGCAGACAGTGCCAAAGCCAGGGAGCCTGGAGCTGGGGGGAGGGCCGGGGACAGCCCGGCCCTGCCCCCTCCCCCGCCGTGTGCCCAGCAACTTCTGAGGAAAGTTTGGCAGAGATCGCGCGTGGTGCCCCGAGGATGGGCAGGGTCCCATCGGCCTGGTGGTTGGCGCTGTGCTGCTGGGGGTGCGTGACCCCCAAGGGTGAGTGATGGGGGCCTTCAGGGCAGGACCCCCCCCTCCGCCCCGTGGAGAGCCTGGGGCAGGAGGGAGAGGAGGGGGATGGATGGCAGGTGTTGGGGTGAGTCTTGAGCTGGCTTGGGGAATTTTGGGGGGACAACAGAGAAGGAGACAGGGAGACACAGAGACAACCCCAGAGAGGCCAGGGGGACAGGAAGGGACTCCGAGAGAGGAACAGAGAATTAAGAAACAGAAACTAGGAGGGTCAGAGATGGGAACAGATGGGCACGCAGAGACACAGACACCAGGAGAAGTCAAAGGCAGGAGTAGGGGCTGGACTTGAGTGGGGTCCCTGGAGAGAGAGGCTAAGATGGGGGCTTCCAGGGAAGGAATGTTCCAGAAGGGAGCACTCAGTCAGACAGCAGGATGGGGAAGGCTCTGGAGCCCTAAGGGAAAACCCTCAGCACAGTCATCCCCCAACAGGCACTTGTCCCTGCCCCACCATTGTCTGTCTGTCTGTCTGTCTGTTGGCTCCATCTTTGGGCCTGGGCTCTGTCTCAGGCTCCAGCTCTACCATCTCTGTGGGTCTCCCTTTGTCTCTCTCTCTCCCTGTCTCTGTCTTTATCTCTCCCTGTTCTATAGGTGCCTCTATCAATGTCTCTGTTTTCCCCTCTGTGTCTTTCGCCCCAGTTTTTCCCCCTCTGTGGTGTTTTTTCTTCGTCTCTCATCCTCAGCCTGTCTCTGGATCTGTGTCCCTCTCTGTCTCTGACCTCCCATACTCAACTTTTCTCTGGCTTCTTTCTTCTCTTCCTCCCCGCCCCCCCCGCCTGCCCCGAACTCCCTCCCCCCTCCCCCACCTCTTTCTCCTCTTTTCCTCTCCACTATCCACCAGCCTGACCTGTCAAGTCTCTGGAGACCCTAGGAGAGGGCAGGGTGCGGGGGACAAGGGCTGGCCCTGCCGGGCAGGCCAGGGCGTGGGAGGCTGCCAGATCTGAGCCTACTTCCCAACGATGAAGGATGGAGGCCGGACCCCAGTCTCCTGGGAAGACTTCCATCCTTCCCTCAAAGCCTCCTCCCTCCAGCCCTGCTGAGGTCACTCTGTAACTATGTGGGCCTAAAGGCCTGGCAGGGTCCTGGCAGCCATAAGCAGGCCAGGAGGGGTGAAACTGAAGAGTTGGAGGGAAGTGGGGTTTTGTAGGCCGACTCTTCCCCATGTCTCTGCAGGTTCCCAGGATCAGACAGACCCCTTTGTGGGGAGCCCAATGAACATCACTGGTGCCCGGGAACTCATGGGGACCCTTCAGTGTGAGCTTCTGGTTCATGGGGAGCCCCCTGAGGTGACCTGGCTTAGGGATGGACAGGTCCTGGAGCTGGCAGACAACACCCAGATCCAGGTGCCTCTGGGCGAAGACGAACAGGATGACTGGAAAGTGGTCAGCCAACTCAGGTGACCAGCCTCTCCCTGACCAGCCACAGCCTTACATTCCCCCCGACCCCCGTCCCCCACCACCTGCACCACATGGTGGGTGAAAGGTCACTTTCGGGAGCTCCACCTGGGTTGGAACCCCAGCTTGGCCACTTGCTGGCTGTGTGGCTTTGAGCATATGACGTAGCCCTGGGTTTCACTTTCCTCTTCTGTACAAGGAATTAATAATAGTGCCCACTTCTCGGCTCTTAGGTGTTTCCAGTCCAGACTCCCCTCTTTCACTTCTGACGACCCCCTCCCCATGTCCAGCTCTGATCCCGAACTTCTCTGTTCCCCCTCTGTCCCTGTCAGGATCTCATCCCTGCAGCTCTCGGACGTGGGATGGTACCAGTGTGCAGTGGTCCTGGGCGGAAAGACCTTCGTGTCCCAGCCTGGCTATATCGGGCTGGAGGGTGAGCCCTGGGCTCAGAGGACATGGGAGGTCAGGAACCCCACGGGGTCAGAGGGTGCTGGGAGATCCAGGGTGTCTCCCGGGGACATACATCCTATGAATGTCAGAGATCTTAGGGAACCAGGAAGATGGGGTCCATAAATTATTGGGATTATATTTCCTGGGGAGGAAGACATGCTGTCGGGGCGGGGGGAGGTTGTCAGGTACCCTGGAGTCAGCCATGGTTGGAGTTGGACAGTCTGGGATCAGATAAGGGGTCAGAGGCATGACTTAACCCTCTCCCCATCCTCAGGGGCCTTGTTTCCTCATTGGTAAAATGGGATAAGTCAGACATTCTGTAAGAGAGATGCAAGGGGCTTAGATGTCCTGGGGGCCTGGCATTGGTTGGGGGAAACGCATATTGGGATCATGTGTCCTGGAGGGGTAGAGGCCTGAGGGGACAGACACAGGGGTTAAAGACCCTGTAGCTTCCAACAGCCTGGCAGTGAGTCAGACACCTGGGGGGCTCAGAGGGACCCCGGCCTAGCCCTACCACTGCCCTGCACCCAGGTTTGCCCTACTTCCTGGAGGAGCCTGAAGACAGGACTGTTGCCGCCAATACCCCCTTCAACCTGAGCTGCCGAGCACAGGGTCCCCCAGAGCCCGTGGACCTGCTCTGGCTCCAGGATGCTGTCCCCCTGGCTCCAGCCATGGGCCACACACCCCAGCACATACTTCATGTTCCAGGTGAGTTCACGGATGTGGCCAGCTCAGTGCAGAGGCCCTGGCATGATGGGAGTAGAGAGCAAGGGTGCCCTTCATGCCTCTGTGTCAGTGTCTGTCTGTCCCTCTCTCCTCTCTCTCCCTGTCTTTGTGTCTTTGCTCTGCATCCTTGCCGCATCTCCTCACTTCCCTCTGTATGATTTCCCTGTCTCTCTCTCTCTCTGTTTTCCATCATTCTCTGTTTCTCCGTGTTCTTCTGTCTCTCTGCTCTTTCCCCCTCCATCTACCCCAGCCTGTCTGAATAGAATTCTTTGTCCTGGGTTTCCTCTGAGCTGTTCCATAGCCCAAGTGTATGTAGGCCTGATAGCCCTTTGTCAGCCCTTGACCCCAAGCAGGACACGGAATCAACAGTGCCTTCCTCTCCTTCACTTCCCCCAACCTGCTTACCTCTGTTGCTGAAGGACCCCACTGGCAAAGAGAAAGGGAGAACATAGGAGACAGAAAATAACAGTTAGGGAGAGAGAGAGAAAGCCAGAGAACAGAGAGGGACTGACCACAGACGTGACCCAACATGGGGCAGGACCTAGCAGTCAGTGGCCGTGCTGGGAGACCATGGACAGAGGGGGTTCCCCCTCACTGAGGAAGGAGAGGAACACAGAAGGGGGAGGCTCAGTCAGTCAGAGCGGGGCGGGGGGGTGGCTGGACCCTGTTTGGTATCAGCTTCCAGCACCCCCAGCCTGCTCCTGCATCTTGCTGGGGTAGGGAAGGGACTCCTGACTGAGGGTCTCCCAGGGTGAAGGGAAGTACCCACATTCCCAGCATTCCGGGGGCCCTGAGTGTGCAAGGAAGAGGTGGTGAGCCTGCCAGCCTCAGAGAGTTGACTCAGGCCAGTGGCTGTGGGGCCTGAGTCAGCCTGGCAGGACCCCGGAGAGGGGGAGGGAGCAGAGGCTGCTTCCCCTACCCCATCCCAGGAAGAAGGAAAAAGGTGGGAGAGAGTCTGTGCATCTGTCAGTTTGCGGTGCAGCTGTGAGGGTGGATCGGTGTATGTGTATGTGTGTGGTGTGTGTTGGGGGGTGGTTCTGGGTGTATTTCCAAGTCCCTCTAGATCTGTGTCTCGGTGTCTGTCAACTTCAACCTCTCTGTATGAGGGTATATCTTAGCGAGGGCCTGCTTCTGGGACTGTCTCAGTGTGTGCATGCATGTGTGTCTCACTATGTATGTCTCTGTCAGCTTGAGTATCTGTCCCACTGTGTGTTTGGGTCTTTATAGTATGTCTTGGTAAGTATCTCAGGAGCTGTGGCTGCGTGTGTGTGTGTGTGTGTGTGTGTGTGTGTGTGAGACTGAGTATACCAGTGTCAGCCTGTGTCTGTCCTTTGGGTTTGTGTGTTCACAGCTGTGATACACTGTGTGAGGGTGGGGGGTATATGTGTGTGCAGAGGGAGAGATGATGGCAGAGTGAGGGATGGCAGTGTTCCTTGTGGCTATTTCCCATACCTCCCTATAAAGAAGTGACAATGGCAGCTGACAGGTGTGCGCCTATGGGTGTCAGTGATTCTCGGTGTGGACCTCTGCTTCTTTGTGGAGCTAGAATGTGTCAATGGACAATGGACAACTTGGTGTATTTTTTGGTGTGTTTATACTGATGGTGGCTGTCTGTGTGTATACACGTCTGTGACCATGGATGTCTGTGGTGTCTGCCTATGTGTCACAGGGTGAGCATGTTGGTACGTGACTCTATCACATGCACCCCCTGTATCTGTGTGTGTGTGTGTGTGTGTCTGTGTTACAGCAGGCAGTAACAACGCCCTTCTGGCCCTGTGTACCAGCCTCACCCCAATGCCCTATTAGTGGATGAAAACTGGGTACTTAGCAGCCAGTGTGTAGATGTCTGCCTGTGAGTCCTGTGTGCATGTCTCCCGTCTTGTGTGTCTGCCGCAGTCCTGTGTGTCTATGCAAGTGTTTTTTTTCTATCAGTCTGCATGCTTGGTGTCTTAAGCATCCTGAGTATGTCCAGCTGTGTTTTGAAGGCTTGGCTGCGTTTGTGTGCGAGTCCACATTAACTTCTTCGGGTTCTGCTCTGTATCCGTTCGTCCAGTTCAACCTCAATGTTTGATTGTCGCTCGGTATGTGCATCTTAACATGCAGGGAGGTTTGTGTGTCTGCTGAAATCTAGGTGTATATTGTCTTGCTAGGTGTTTGCAGTCAATGTGTGCACATTTGATTGTGTGTTTATGTTTGTGTCTACGTTTATGTGTGTCCACGCCTGTGCGTATACACGGAAGTCACTGAGTGTGTATCTGTGTCACTGCTTGCCTCACCATCAGCCCTATGTGTCACTTATTGAGTGCCGCATTTTCTGTTTTTGTGCCAGTAACAGTTCTTGTGGGTGATTCATTGAGTGATGGTCGAGGGCTGTATCAAGGAATTTTAGCCTGTTTGTGTGCATCCGTCCCTTGAGCTGACTCAGAGCCTGGCCCTTCTCTTCTTCCATCCCTCTCATTCCCTCGGAAAAAGCACAGCGTTAGGGGGAGGAGCAGGAGCAGACGCGAGGTGGACAATGTCTCTGGAAAGCACATCTGGAGTGGGTCTGCTCCAGTCGTGAGGGAGAGCCTGCGGGAGCTAAGGGGTCCCAGGACCCTTCCGCCCTGCTTTACCCGTCTCTCAAGGTGCTGGATCGGACGCTTGGAAGGGGGATCCTGGGCCGCGCCCCACCAAGGCCAGCCGGAAGTGCGGGGGAGGGGGCGCCCGGTGACTCACTGACGCGGGGGCAGGAATGCTGCGGTCGGAACAGCACCCGGCTCCAGAACCCCTGTCCCGCCCCAAGGCTCCTCTGGCAGGCAGCGCCAGCTCCCGCGCAGTGACCCTGGCGGGCCCTCACGTGCCAGGTGGCCAGAGGGGACCCAGCTCCCAGTCCCCGCCCCGCTGCCCATCGGCCCAGGGTTACCCTACCCTCCTCCCCTGCAGTGGGGGTGCGGGGGCTGTGGGCTGGCGGGCGGGCACCTGACCTTGGCTGGGAACTGGCGCCTGGGCCCCGGAGCTGAGGAGCTTCCCTGCCCACCCCTTCCGGCCTGGCCAGCCGACTTTCCCTCCTTCCACTCCCTGTGCTGACTAAGAAAAGGAAACTTTGTGTCTGCGGGTAGATGGTGGTGCGCGAACACAGGCACACGCGCGCAGAGCAAACAGAAGAGGCACACGCAGGCGCCCAGCATCCACACACTCAGGGCCGCCCCCTCAGGCACGCACAGAAACGGAGAAGCACAGAGAACTGCGGGCACACGTGCAGATTGAAGATTTGGTCCTCCTTACACCCTGTCACCCAAACAGTGTGTGCGTGCCCCTGTTTCTGTGTGTGCATCTGTGCACACACCGTGGCTGTGTGTCTGGGCCTGTGCTTTTTTTGTCCCTCCACTTGTATGCGAATGTGTGTGTGTCTGCCTGTGTTCCCACCGTCACCACAGTGGGGAGGGGAGGCGATCCACCCCTAGATACTCAAAAACAGGTATTCGTGACACATGCATTAACTCACCCACAGAACTACACATGCTCAAAGTTCTGCATACACAGCCAGAAACACTCATAAGTACACAAATGTATACACATAAATTCATTCACTCATTCGACAAGCATTTATAGAGCACCTACTGTGTGCTAGGCCATCTTAGACACACGAGATACAGCAGGGGACAAGATATGCAGAAACACCTGCCCTCTTGGAGCCAACATGCTGGGGGAATTGACAGACAGTGAATGAAATACACAAGTCATATATAAGTACATAGTGATGAGAAGAGCCAAAGAGAAAAGGTAAAGCAGGAAGAAGGCTATATATGGCAGGAGGTTCCAATATTAAACAAAGTGGTCAGGGACAGAGTGACTGAGGTGGATCTAAGTAACAAATGTGAAGGAGCGGAGAGTGAGCCACTTGGCCGTCTGTAGGAAGACTGTTCTAAGCAGAAGGAACAAACGTACAAAGTTCCCCAGGTGGGAACGTGCTTGATGTGTGCTTCCTAGTAACACCAGGTGGCCATGTGGCCAGAGCAGAGTAGAGCGAGTGTGTGAGTGAACGAGTGAGTGAGCAAGAGGGAGTGAGGTTGCTAGGAACGAGCTTATAAACAAATAAATATGTCTACATTTATGCACATCCCCAAGAGCCTGTTTCTTGGGTGTGGGTATGAGATGTATATGCCTCTGTGTGTCTATGTGGCTCAATGTGATCATGTCTGTGTCTCTGCATCTATGTGAGTGTGTGTCTGTGTGTCCATCTGAGTATGTGTGTTTATGTGTGTGCCGTTGTGTAATTCTGTATATCTGCATGTGTCTATGTGTGTATGCGTGAGTATGTGTGTCTTGGTGTGTGAATGTGTTTCTCTGTGTCTGTGTGTATGTATGAGTAAATATGTACATCTGTGCATGAGTGTGTATGTGTATGTGGTTCTGTGTGTATCTATCTATGTGTCTGTATTTGTATGTGGGTTTCTATCTGTGCGTGTGCCAATGTGTCTGCATCTTCGAGCTTTAGGGCCAAGGCCTTGTGTTAGAGACGCAACACATTGCCTCTCCTTCCCATAGTCTCCCTCCAAGCAGGTGCCCTGTGGGCTGAACTAAACCTGTCAGGTGAGGCATACTAGGGGGTTGGCCAGCATGGCCTGAGAACTCCTCCGTGTCCTCTCTGACACTGGCCCCCACCCTCCTATGACTCCGCAGGCCTGAACAAGACATCTTCTTTCTCCTGTGAGGCCTATAATGCCAAGGGGGTCACCACATCCCAAACAGCCATCATCACAGGTAACAGAAAAGGGAGCTGGGCAGCTGGGTGTCAGATGGTGTGGGGCTAGGGTCAAAGGTCACAGCTGGGGCTAGAAGATAAGCTGGGGAGCTTAGGGCAAAAGCCCCCCAGATCACTCCTTCCTCTCATCTCCACAGTGCTCCCACAGCGGCCCCATGACCTCCACTTGGTTTCCCGCTGGCCCACAGAGCTGGAAGTGGCTTGGACCCCAGGCCTGAGCGGCATCTACCCTCTCACTCACTGCACCCTGCAGGTGAGACTCAGATTTTGCTAGCCTCAGTTTAAACCCCACTTCCACCCATAACCTACAAGCCCTCAGCCTCTCCCTGGGTAACTAGCCCTTCCTAGTTATTTGTATGTGGAGAGACAGTAGAGTCTTGGGTTAAGCCAGACATCCTGGATTCAAATCCTGGCTCCACCAGCTTCTGGCTGCATGAGCTAGGGCAGGTGACTTAACCGCTCTGGGTCTCAGTTCTCTCATCTATACCTATACATACCTAAAAGACTTGTTGTGAGAATTTAATGAGTAAATGCAAGCAACAAAATTAAAATAGTATCTGGAACACAGGAAACAAACTATTGACTGTTTGCAGTTTCTTTTAGTATTAGTGGTATTGACTCTAGCCAGAATGGGAGCCCTGAGACAGCAAAGCCAAGAGCCATCTCTCTCACCATTGGGTACCCCCAACACTGCTTCTCCCACCTCAGCCCAGATCACTTTGGGTTGTCGCTGTCTGGGGATGAGTCTGTCTCCCCACTGGACTGTGAGCCCTGGGAGGGCAGGGCCAGGCTCTCTCAGTCACCACTTGGTCTTCATTACTGCCTGGCTCAGCGCCAGTCAGAGTAGGGAATTTCTGCTGAAGACTACCTGACAGCTCAGATGGACGAGACCCAGCCTTCTGCACCCAAGTTGCTTCTCCTCTAGAGTAAGAAAAGCAAACACATGGATCTCTGAATACAAGATCCAATTCTGGCCTCAAGGTCTCTGTGATTTGGAAGTTGGTAGGACAGTGCCAGTGATGGGAGATGACAATAATTAATAATGGCCAACTTCCATTGAGTGCCAACTATGTGTTAGGCCTTGTGTTATGGCTTTATGCACACCCAACTTTTGTGTTGTGAAATATGGTCTATGTTTGCACCCATTTTTTAGATGAAGAAACTAATGCTCAGAGTAGTTAAGCAACTTGCCCAAGGTCGGAGCCAGGAAATGGCAGAGGTGGGATTCGAACCCTTGTCTCACTAGACCCAAACAATGCTCCTTATCTCCTTAGAGACCCTTTAGAGCCAGTGTTTGATTAAACAGCAGCTGTCTTTCTTATAATTACATGCCCTAGACATAATTTCATTCACTTGTCATTTTAACCTTAAAAAGTAGTGGCTATTAATCTTCCTATTTTCAAAGTAAGGAACTGAGAGGCCCGGTGAGGGGAAGTGATCAGCCCTCCCCAGTGGCTAAAGAGGATGAAACTGATTCAATCTCAAAGGCCTGGCCAATTTAGGAGACTTCAAATGCCAGGTGAGGCATCAGCAGTACCCTCACCCCATACCCATCCAGGGCCCACAGGAAAGCAGAAGTGTGTCCTCTTCCCTCTGCGGGTCTCACTTCCTGCTGTGCATAGGCCAGGCCGAAGGGTTCAAATGGGAGGGTCACAGGCATCAGGGAAAAGAGAAGTGGAGAATGGGCACTGGGAGACTGTCTGCATTCTTGCCCCCTTTGTCCCAGCAGAGGTTCCTCTTCCCGTCTGTCACTAGGTCAGAGAGCAGGCATGGGGACAGCCTTCCCCCATCCTGCTACCCGCCATCCACCCTTCTCCTACTCAGGCCTTGGGGTGATATTGTCTCCACATGTGGGGACGGTGTGACTTTGAGTAAGGGGCTGAACCTCTCTGGGCTTCTCTTTCCTCATCTAGAAAATGGGAATTAAAAAAGAAGTTGACCCCATAGGGTGGTGGTAAGAAGTCACTGAGTTCACACAAGCATGCCCTTGACAGGGTGCTTGGCACGTAATTAGCACTCGAATGTTAGCTGTTGATGTGATGTGCAAAACGGTTTACACGCTGATGCACAGGTGTATTCTGCAGCTGTGGCCCTGCCATCCTGATTGTGCTGTTCCTGGAGACCACGTGGGCATGCTAGCCTGTGCCACTGTCCCGCAGGGCGTATGGAGTTGGACACTTGTTGCCAGACAGCCTCTCTCTCTTTCACAGACATACACACATGCACACACACACACACACACACACACACAACGCTAACAATGGCAAACACTCAATACATGTGGTCACTCTTCTAAACACCTGGGAGCAACATTCCTGCGAAGTAGGGAGCCATTGTTGTATCCCATTTTACAGATGAGGAAATGAGGTTCAGAGAGGAAACATCTTGCCAGAGGTGGGTTTTGCAAGTGATGAGAGAACCACATCATACAGCTGGGTGGTATCCTCACTTTGCAAAAGCAGGTGCCTGTGGAGCACAAGAATGAAGCTATGACATACATACATGCACAGATACACACGCATACATACAGCCTTGCAAAGTTGTGTAATGACTAGGACCACCATCGAGCCTTGTCTGACTGCTTGTGTCCTGTCCTCACACCCTTTTCCTCTCCCTAGGCTATGCTGTCAGATGATGGCGTGGGCGCCAGGCTGGGAGAGCCGGACCCCCCGGAGGAGCCCCTCACCTTTCAGGCATCCGTTCCCCCTCACCAACTACGGCTGGGTGGTCTCCGTCCTCACAGTGCTTATCACATCCGGGTGGCATGTGCCAGTGGCCAGGGTCCTTCACTCTGGACCCACTGGCTTCCTGTGGAGACACCCGAGGGAGGTAAGAAGGAGCTGGTCGGGGGGGAGATGTTGCCTGCTGGTCCTCTGGGCCTTGCTCACATCAGTATTACCCCCAGCATCTCCTCTCACCCATTTACCCCATGTGGCTTCCACCTCCTTCCCGTTCAGTCCCTGCTCCTCAGCACAGCACTGGCCTCCCTCCCAGCCCTCCTCGCTATGCTTCCGCTCTGGGGCACCTGCATGAGTGGCCCCCGCACATGCTCTTTGCACCCTGCCTCTACTTCCTGGGGACGGGGGGGTTCAGGAAGAGGTAGAAGTGCCAACTTCCCCTCTTCCCTGTCCTCCAGTTCCCCTGGGCCCCCCCGAGAACCTGAGTGCCATGCGGAATGGGAGCCAAGCCATCGTGCGTTGGCAGAAGCCAGTGGCACCCCTGCAGGGCACCCTGCTAGGGTACCGCCTGGCCTATCGAGGCCAGGACACCCCCGAGGTGGGTGCTGCTGGTTGGGGTAGAGTGGAGGAGCTGGGGATGAGGGAAGTGGGGAGAAGGGTACAGGGCAGACATAGATAGTTGTGCAGGTTGGGTAGTGCATGATCACACTATGCCTAAGAGCACATTATGGGGAGGTTAAAGAGCTCCAGGTGTGGGTTAGGGAATCGTTATTTATGAATCATTGTAAAAAGTGGTTCAGTAGACATTTTTTATTATGATGACTTTATAGCAGATAATTGTATAGCATCTTGTGGAAGGGCTGCCTTATCTAATTTGCACAAAGGTACCATCTGTGCAAACGGCATCCCTAGTGTGGAGAGAGAGAGGGTGGGGAAGACAGTGAGATTTAGAAGGGGGTGGAGAGATGAGGACAAAAAAAATGAGAATTCAGTTCTTTAACAAAAGTACTGTGTGCCAAGCATGTTGTAGGCCATGAGGACACAGCAGTGAATGAGACCAAGTCCTGTCCTGGTGGAGCTGATATTTTAGTGGGCACTTGGATGGAGAAATGGGGATGAAAGGAGTGAGGATGAAAGGATAGGAAGAGGAAGGGGAGAAGGTGCTGGAGATTAGAAGGTTTCCAGAAGGTTTGGGGAGTTAAGTCCAAGGGTGAAAGCTTAAGAATTAGGAACCTGATGCTACATCTGCATGTCTTAGGTACTGATGGACATAGGGCTAAAGCAGGAGGTGACCCTGGAGCTGCGGGGGGACAGGACTGTGCCCAACCTGACAGTGAGTGTGGCGGCCTACACCACCTCTGGGGATGGACCCTGGAGCCTCCCTGTGTCCCTGGAGCCTTGGCGCCCAGGTAACTCCAAGTTCACGTCAGCCCCCTTCAACCTACCCACAAGGACCTTGTCTGTCTTAGATGCTCCTGACTTGCTCTCTGCAACTTTCAGTGTTACCACAATCTAGGCTCCGTTCCTAACCAGAACCTTCCTGAGCCTGACACCTCACCCGCGTCACACCAGTCTTGCTCTCCCTGAGCATGTCCTCCCTCTGTCCTTTCTTCTCACAGGGCAAGGACAGCCAGTGCACCAGCTGGGTAAGGGCTTTCACACCCCTCCGCCCCCCTCCCTTCCCTTAACGCCCAGTGAGAACCCCAAAACCACACACATACTTTTGCACATCCCTTTCATGTTTCTTGAACTCATCACTCTAATCCTCTGTTTCTTGGGTTTGTGTGGTCCTCGATAGAGATGCCTGAATAGCCCAGCATATTGTAGGTACTCAGTGGATGGATGGATGGATGGATGGATGGACAGATGAATTACCCCCCTCACATTCATCCCTGTCAAATATTTCTCAACAATTCTCAAACATTCCTCCTACATTCATTGTACCCTCCCAGCACTATTACAAGTCCACCTCTTATAACACACCCTGCTATCCTTTAATAGTTCTCACATGTCTTCCTACATTTGCTTGCTTACGCTTTCACACTAACCCACCCTCTCTTCATGCTCATCCCATTATAATCCTTCATTCCTCACACATGCCTCCCAAACCCAAAACACACCCACGCTTCTCATTCACAAACTGTACACTTTTAACACACTCACCATACATCTCACATTACAAACCCTGAAAAGCTTTCAGCCCACACTACCCCACACTCTACAGCTCTTCTCGCACACTCATCCGACTCCTTATCCGCCACTCCTCCACCCCTAGGCAATCCTAACCTATTTTCACCCTCCGCACACACCCACGCCAAACTCCTCTACACTCAACACATACCCAGTCTGCACTTCTTACACAACCACCCCCACCCTTTCTGCACATCCCCTGTTCCTTATCTGCTCTTCCCACACTTTTTTATTTTTAAATGTATTTATTTATTTTTAGAGAAGCGGGAAGGGAGGGAGAAAGAGAGGGAGGGAAACATCAGTGTGTGAGAGAGACATCAACCAGTTGCCGCTTGTATGCCCCCCAGCTTAGCACCTGGCTCACCCTCCAGGCATGTGCCTTGACCGGAAATCAAACCGGTGACCTTTCAGTTTGTGGGACGACGCCCAACCCACTGCTCCACACCAGTCAGGGCCCTTTCCAGATTTTTAGCCTGCTCGTTGCACACTCTTCTCACACCAACGTTATTTATTACAAATCACTCCTCACTCCCTGAATCTAAAACTCCTTGAATACTCCTCATTCACATGACCTCAGTTCCTCCAAAACCCATCACACTCTACACCACACCCCTTTGTACATGTTATTTACTTAACTCTCATCCTTGCTTCGTGAAAACGCTTCCGTAGTCACCACATACTCCTCAAAAATACTCCTTGGCCATTTATCCCGGGAGCCTCACAGTCCTTGTGTATTTATTGCACATGCCTCATGCACCCATCCTACACTGCGTGCATTCTCTCCCCCACTCATCAGTTTTCTCACACCCAAGTTCTCCCTCCTTGCCCAATTATCACACATTTCAAAACATGTCTATATTACTTGTGATTTACTGGCACCCACCTCACCTCACGTGCATCCACCCCTCCTTGCGTTACTATAACCCATTCTGCACAAGTCTTTCACTCCCATTCCATGCTCATTCCACACTCATCACACACTCCTCAAATGTCCATCTCACTCTCAACTGACCTCACTAACCCTAAAAGTGTCACACTGCCACTTGAATGTTCACTCATATCACATCCATTGCATGCCTTGCCCAGCCCAGCCCAGTCTCCCCAGATATGTTAATGCACTTATCACCCGCTTCATCAAACATGACCACATCTACCTCCCTCCAACATCACCCCCTTGGGTCCCAGGGAGATGGTCCCAGGGCCTCAGCCATGACCTGTTCCCCGTGCCCCTGACAGTGAGTGAACCTCCAGCCCCCTCCTTCTCGTGGCCCTGGTGGTATGTACTGCTGGGAGTAGTTGTGGCTGCTGCCTGTGTCTTCATCTTGGCCCTGTTCCTCGTCCACCGGCGGAAGAAGGAGACCCGCTATGGGTGAGTTGGAACTCCATGGGTAGGGAGGCTCGTGTGGACTAGGATGGAGAACTTGGAGGCAGGGAGACCATGAAGAGGCTGGTGCAGGAGGAGAGATTGACAAGAATTAGAATAAGGGTGAGGGTCCGGAGAAGGAATGGAAGGAAGAAGGTAGCAGAGCAGCCCAAGACATGCTTAGCAAATGCTGGAGGAGAGGGCAGGGAGAGCTTGGGGTTGGGATGGTGCTAGCTTTCACTGCTGATGGAAAAAGGGGGTTCCACATGGCTCTTCCCTGCCCTCACCTCCTCCCTATTCCCCCAGAGAGGTGTTTGAACCAACAGTGGAGAGGGGTGAACTGGTGGTCAGGTACCGTGTTCGCAAGTCCTACAGTCGCCGGACCACTGAAGCCACCTGTAAGTGAACCCTGTGCCTCCCTGCCCTGGTTTGGGGATAACAGCTGTAGAGATTTAAGCTTCTGTAGATGTGTGAACCAAAAGTTTCCAAAGGCCTTGGAATACTAGGATGTTAGAACCACAGACCCTAAAAACAACAGAACTGTGGAACCACACAGAACCTTAGAATAATAGAATCTAGGAGACAGTAAATCTTGGGAGACCAAACCTCAGAGCAATAGGGCCTTAGACCAGAGTGATGATGAGGACGATGACAACGATGGTGACAATAGTGATGATGATATGACTATGATGCTGAAAGTGACAGCCAACCCTAGCACTTCCTACGTCCCAGGGACTGTTTTAAGTGCTCTACACATGCCACTTAATCCTCAGAGCAACCCAGTGAGGTAGGTATGTTATTTCCCCCCTTTTCCCAGGTGAGGAAACTGTGGCATAGAGTGGCTAAGAAACTTGCTCAAGACCACACAGCTTGTCAGTTGGTGAGCTGGGATTCTCACCCAGGCAGTTTGGCTCTGGAGTCCATCATCTTTACTGCCTGTTGGAATTGTAGAATGTTAGAGAAGTAAACTAGATCTTGGCCTAAAAAATTATAGGCTCAGTACTATAGACCCTTAGGCTCTTGAAAATCATGAATCCTAAACCTATAGGCTCTCTGGTAAAAGATTGTAGAGTTATGGAGGTTCCCAGCTAAGGAAAGGCCTCAGAGGCCATACAGTCAAATCCCTTCATCTTTCCTTTTAGGGAAACTTAAATCCAGGGCGGGGGGGGGGGAAAGGACAGAGTTAGGTCTCTTCCAAGCACACAGTGAGAGGGCTGCCAGGCCCCAGGGAGATATTGAAAGGGGCTGGGAAAGCCATTAATTTAAGAGGAGAAGGAAAAGGATGCGAGCAGGTCACCCTGGAATCACACGCAGCGGCCAATCTCAAAGTGTGATCCTGTCCCTGGGGGTCCCCGAGATCTTTGCAGGGGGGTCTGTGAGGTCAAAACTATTTTCAAGACACTTTTTGCCCTTTTTCACTCTCATTCTCCCACAAGAATTCCATAGAGTTTTCCAGAAGGTTACTAATGTATGATGATGTCATCACCCGGTTGGTTGACGGAACATGTGCTTATGTATTCCTGTGTTTCAAAAATCTATTTGTTTTAATTTCGAACACAGTGAACATCAATATATATAACTCACATAAACAAGAGCTCTCTGCAGTTCTCAGTAATTTTAAGAATGTAAAGGGGTCGGGAGGCCAGTACGTTTGGGAACTGTTTCTATACAGCATTATGGAAATGAGTACATTACAACTACAAACAAAAAATACATGGCAACTGTCTCATAGACATCATGTTGAAAGAAGCTAGACACCAAAGAGAACATAAGTGATTCCACGTTTGCAACATCCCCAAAGAGAGAAGGTTGGTCTGTGATAAGAGAGGTCAGGAAAGTGGCTGCCCCAGAGAGGGCAGGTTGTGGTCTGTCATTGATCCGCATGCTAGTTATGCTGCTGTGTTGGTGTGTGAAAATTCACCCAGCTGCTTTCTCTCTTACGATTTGTGCAGATTATATACCTCAATAAAACATCTATTTTTATATATATATATATATTTTAACAACTGGTATGGCAGGACGCTGACCAATCAGGGTACCCATTGGTGTGAGATTATGTGACAGTCCAACCCTTTAGCTACCCCTCTTGCAGAAGATTCTGGGGGCTCAAAGAAGGAGCCAGGGCAGGGGTGGGGAGTGCTCAGGGCACTAACTCATTTTGAATGAATGCAGAAGAATTTCAGTATTTTAACAACGGGAATGCGGCTATTGGTGAGTGTTGCCTGAATGTCAGCCCAGCTCCGTGGCTCTGTCCACCCCCACTCCCCATGCAGTGAACAGCCTGGGGATCAGTGAGGAGCTGAAGGAGAAGCTGCGGGATGTGATGGTGGACCGGCATAAGGTGGCCCTGGGGAAGACCCTGGGAGAGGGTGAGTCCCCCCAGCGTACATACACATCCCCCTGAACCAGAGCCCTTCACTTCCCCACACCTACCCAACCACAAGAAATGCAATCGCTGCGGGCCCCCTTAAGGTCAGTGTCTCCCTCTGGTCCTCTACAGGAGAGTTTGGAGCTGTGATGGAGGGCCATCTCAACCAGGATGACTCCATCCTCAAGGTGGCTGTGAAGACGATGAAGAGTAAGTATGTGGACACGTGTGGGACTCTATTCTCTAGCCTAGACCCTTTTTCCCTGTGCCCCCAAAGAGGCAGAAGAACAGAAAAGTTAACTGCAAATTAGCCCTACCACACAACCCCACTGTTTCCAGGCAGGAAATGAAGTCAATGCTAGGTACTTCAACAGAAAAAATTCAATATGGGGAGATTACTACCAAGGTGTAGGAAGGACTGAAGGAACACCTGGGAGCAATGAGGCAACCTGGAGGTTAGTAGCAGCAGTGGTCACTTCCATCTCTAGGCCTAAAGGGCAGAGAGAGGAAGTGGTGTTACCAGAGCCCATGGCCAGGGATGCCTGGCAGGATTTGGGGATCATAGAATCAGGGGTAACCTTGTGGGAGCTTGATACAGAAAGGAGACACAGCTACCACCAAGGCAATACTGGAGGCAGAAATAGACTGGGTGAAATGCTCTGGCTTCCCCCCTCCTTCTGCCCACCTGCCAGTCTCCCATTAGTGCTTCCCATTGGCAAACTCCAACAGGAAACCAGCAGGAAAGGGAGCCTGAAAGTGTAGTTTTCAGAGACCAGCCCCCTGTGATATATAGCAGAGGGGGAAAGGTCTGAAATGAGGTACAACTGGCTTCATCATTCACCAGCTGCTATCTCAGGCAAGTGACTATCCCTCTGAGCCTGCTATTCTTCGTGTGGAAAAGGGACCATAATGGCCCTACCTCCTAGGATGTTGCAAGGCAAAGCACTTAATCCTGGGGGTGGAACATAGTACACGCAGTTAATGTGGACAGTGACTATATTATTTATATCATCAGAGATGGTGGGAGCCAGTCTGGGGCCACACAGCACAGGAAGTCGATGGCAGGAAATCCTTTCCACACAAAGAAAAAGTATCGAGGGTCAGGCTGGGGCTGGAGGTGAGGAAGAACAACCCTTTCTGAATCATAGGGGCTAAAAGCTTGGGTTACAGAGTCATCACTCGCTCACTTTTTCATTTTTTAAAGAGTTTATTTATTCATTTTCAGAAAGAGAAGAAGGGAGGGAGAAACAGGAGGAGAAAAACATTGATCTGTTGCTCTCTCACATGCCCCCAACCAGGGACCTGGCCCACAACCCAGTCATGTGCCCTGAATGGGAATTGAACTGGTGACCTTTCGGTTTACAGGCTGGTGCTCAATCCATTGAGAAACACCAGCCAGGGCTCACTTCCTCATTTTTGAGCACCTCCTATGTACCAGGTTATGTTCTCGACCTGGGTTTCAGTCTCAGCTGTGTGGCCTTGGGCAAGTCACTTTGCCTCTATGAGCCACTGTCCTGAGGTGTAAAACAGGGAAAATCATGTGGCCTCCCCACGGCTGTTGGAAATAGGCTGGGACACAGCCTATTGTGGTTATTATGGTGGGTTCACATGGATCTGGAGGAGCCTGACTTTGAATTCTGACTATTCCACTTGCAAGCTGCATATGGGGAAAATAATAAGAACACCTCAGAGGATTAAATGAGTTAATATATGTAAAGTACTGAGTATAGCACCTAGCACTTAGCAATCATGTCTGGTGAAGAAGAAGAAGATGATGATGGTGGTGATGATGATGGTGAAGAAGGAGGTGGGGAAATACTCTCTTTCCCCCTTCCTCTCCCATCCCCCTCCTTCTTAACCCCCCTTCCTCTCTTCCCCAAGTTGCCATCTGCACAAGGTCAGAGCTGGAGGATTTCCTGAGTGAAGCTGTCTGCATGAAGGAATTTGACCACCCAAATGTCATGAGGCTTATAGGTGAGGCGTGGTCAATTTGGGGGGCCTAGAGGCCATGTGGAAGCAACAGTAAAGGGAGGACTCCTCTGGCACTGAAAAGATCAAACCTCCAGGCTCCCTGTCCCCCGCTCTCTCAGAGTGAGCAAGTTCCCCCCTCCTTCTCTTCCTCAGCTTGGAATGTGACCTCTGACCTTTCCCAGAAATAGCTGAGGTCCTCAGGAGGGCTAGGGAAAATTCCTGGGAACAGTGCAAGAAATCGCTTCTCTGAAGTTTGGTCCTTGCCACCGCACATGCCACCCCCGCCCAACAATTTGGAGGCCAGATTTGAGGGAGAGGGACACAGAGCTAGATGAGGGGGTGGCTTCCCTTTCTGACCAACTGGAGTGACAGAGCTGCCTGGGGGGCTCAGGTGTCTGTTTCCAGGGTTCTGAACTAGAAGGCTTTCCAGCACCTGTTGTCATCTTACCTTTCATGAAACATGGAGACCTACACAGCTTCCTTCTCTATTCTCGACTTGGGGACCAGCCAGTGGTGAGGGGCATTTAATTGTCTAGTCTACATGTATTGATTGAGCATCTACCAGGTACCGGGTGCTACTCAGACACTGGGAAGACGATGGTGACCAAGAACTGGCTCTCATGGAGCTGTCTGATGGTGGGGGTACCAGCAATAAACAAGTTAACAAGTAAATAAGCAAGATAATTTGAGTGCTAGCAAGGAATTATAGAGTAGGATGAAAGATAGGAGGCCAGGCAGTTAGTTTGGAAGGTCAAGGGGGTCTCATTGACCTACCTTCCTGGGAGGTAACCTTGAAGGAAGAGGCAGCTGGTGGGAGGTGAGGAGATCCAGGAGGAAGCAACCCTGGAGGGAACAGTATCTTCTCAGTGGTGAGAAGAAGCCTGGCTCATTTGAAGACCAAAAAGGAGGCCCCTGGATGGAGCATATGTTGAGGGCAAGAAAAATAGGAGATTGAGTTACAGAGGAAGGCAGGATGGGATTATATAGGGTCTTGTTGGAAAGAGTTGGATTTAATTCTTGGAGCCATAGGAAACCATGGCAGGGCAGAGCTAGACACACACAGGAAGGGAGAAGGGATGGATCTTGGGGACTCTGCTGACCTCTGTTCCACCCCCTCCTGCCCTGGCCCCCCCAGTTCCTGCCCACTCAGATGCTGGTGAAGTTCATGGCAGACATTGCCAGTGGCATGGAGTATTTGAGTACCAAGAGATTCATACATCGGGACCTGGCTGCCAGGAACTGCATGTGAGTGTTGAGCCTTCCAGGGATACCCCTCCCCCCTTCAGAGAGCGCCTTCCCTCCTGCCCAGGATGGAAGAGGAGGCTAGACACACACATACCCCTGGTACAGGTCAGAACTCAGGACTGGAATAGAGAGGTGAGCAAGGGGGTTGGGGAAGGCTTCCTGGAGGAGGTGGGCCATGAACTGACATCTTAAAGGAATATTTGAGAGAGAAGAAGCAAGAGAGTGGGTTCAGTGGGTAGCATGAGGTGAGTAAAGAGACAGAGGTGACCAACGAGGGTGGTAACAGTTAAACTTCATCCCTGTCCCCCTCCATGCTGAGTGTCTGGCCTAGGGCTGCCCTTGGGAGGAGCCATATTGGATATGGAGATGAGGAACCCCCTCAAATCAATGGACTTGTGCGCGGGGGGGCGGGGGGGGTGTCTGTAAACACAGATTTAGAATATTAGTCTCATTACAATGTTGGACTCATAGAAATTGGAGCTGAAGAATCAGAGAATCTTCTATAAAATATGTAAATGTTCACAACTCTCAGAAATATGGAAATTTCTTTATTCCCCCTTCTTTATTTTAAAAACTCCAATCCTACAGAAAAGTTAAAAGAATTGTATAACAAACACCTGTATACCCTCCTGGTCGAGATTTGGCCGCGTTTCTCCTCTCTCCCCTCACCCCTTTGAAAGTAAGTTGCCATGATGGTGACATTTCATCCCTGAATCTTCAGTAGCTATTGCCTAAGAATAAGGAATTATACCTAAATAATCACAGTTCTGTTATCACACCTAAGAAGATTATCAATAATTCCATAACCTAACCTAATATTCAATCCTCATTCAAATTCTTCCAGTTGTCTTCTGAAAAGCCTTTAGGGCTATTTTTTCCTTGAATCAGGATCCTATTCAAGGTCCCCACATAGCATTTGGTTTTTATGCCCCTTTGGTCACTTTTAATCTAGAACGGTCTCTCCACAACTACCTGTTTGTATTTTTATAACATTCTTTTGGAATTGACCAGGCTGGTTGTCATGTAAGATGTCCTCTATATAAGATGTGTGTTTCCTTGTGCTGGCATTTGCCTTGTTCCTCTGTTCCCTGTATTTCCTGTTAAGGTGAAAGTAGATATAAAGGCTTGAATGGACTCAATCAAAATGGAAATTCCTTTATTTCTCTAACTTGGGATGATCCAATGTAACAATGACACTGAAAATCAGAGTTAAAATTGTAATGCACCTGTAACTTTTTTAAAAAGTGTTTTGTTTTTTTTTTTGTTTTTTGGGGTTTTTTTAGAGAGGGGAAAGGGAGGGAGAAAGAGAGAGAGAGAAACATCTATGTGTGGTTGCATTTCACGCCCCCCTGCTGGGGACCTGGCCTGCAACCGAGGCATGTGCCCGACACTGGGAATCGAACAGGCGACCCTTTGGTTCGCAGGCTGGCACTCAATCCACTGAGCCACACCAGCCAGGGCTAGAAACCGCATACTCTTAAAAAAATAGAATCCCAGAAACTCGGATATAAGAATCAGGGAATCTTCAAACTACATAAAGCACAAAACAAGAAAAAAGTAATCCATGCTGTTAGGAGTGAAGATGATGGTTACCCTTGGAGAGCTAGTTATAGGAAGGGAAGACTGGTAATGCATTTCTTTTACATACTTAAAAAAATCAATGTATAGCCCAGGCTGGGTGCCTCAGCTGGATGAACTGTCACTCTGTAAACCAAAAGTTGTGGCTTCAATTCCCAGTTAGGGCACATACCTGGGTTGGGGTGCAGACAGGAGGCAACCAATCAATGTTTCTCTCCCTCTCTCTAAAATCAATAAACATATCCCTGGTTGAGGCTTAAAAACAAATTGGTGTACACAATTGAGCTATTTGCATTTGAAAAAAGTTTGCTTCTTCAAAAAAATTTATATTTTACATACAAAAATACACACATCCTACATGTGCAGCTCGATGAATATTTACATGTCTGTGGACCTATGGTTAAACAGCCACCACTGGATGGATCAACATAAAGGACATTTCTGGGCCCCAGCAGGCTCCCTAATGCCCTTTCCAGTAGCTGTTCCTAATGGGTACAAGGGGTAGCCATTCTTCTGGGCTTCTGTCACACCAACTTCTGTTACGTGCTCTTAAATGTCATATAAATGGAATCATGAAGTCTGTAGACCTTCCTACCTGGCTTTGTTCGCTCAGCATGATGTTTTTGAGATTAGTCCGTGTCGTGTGTATATATCAGTCATTTGTTCTTTTTCTTTGCTGTGTAATATTCCTTATATGGGTGTCCCACAATATTCTGTTTCTTAATCTGGGTGCTGGTTCCATGGCTGTGTTTGTGAAAATTCAGTGAGCTGCTCACTAAAGAATTGTGTGTGTTTCAGTATATATGTTATATATCCAGAAAACAGTTTTGTTTTGCTTTTAAATCCGAGACTCAAACCCAAGGAGCTTATGAAGGGCCTTAGAATCTGGCAAAAAGCCAGAGCTGGGAAGGCCCTCGGTAGCTTTTTGTTCTGCCCTCATTTTATGGAGGAAACAAGAAGTAACACAGTTCCCTTTGCCTCTGGGGCAAGGAAGGGGGACAGACCCTTACCCCCGAGCAGGACAGCCAGGGTGGGAGAAAGAGATATGTCTGAGTGCGATGGCAGGCTTCCTGGTGGAGGGAGCGGATGTCATGACCCTGTTCCTCTCTCCAATCCTGGCAGGCTGAACGAGAACATGTCTGTGTGCGTGGCGGACTTTGGGCTCTCCAAGAAGATCTACAATGGGGACTACTACCGCCAGGGACGCATTGCTAAGATGCCAGTCAAATGGATCGCCATCGAGAGCCTGGCTGACCGTGTCTACACCAGCAAGAGTGATGTGGTACGTGTGCCTCTGACAGGTGGGGAACAGCAGGACGGTGTGGCCCAGTCATCTCACTGCACCTGGGCTCCACATGGGCTACCCACACCTGGGGTATGGTGGGCGACTGTGAACAGGGGTATGGACATGCTTGGGATATATACAGGCCGATGTGTGCATGGTGGCAGGTTCTACATGGGACATGTGGACAGTTTAGGTTAGGAGAAGCAGTGGTAAGTATGTATACATGTGTATAGCCAGAGTGTGGAGAGTGACACATGAGACCATGTGTCTATTAAGTGTGTAAATGTATGCCTGGGTGAACAAGTCTGTGTGTGCACAAAAGTCACCTCTATTAATGTGCACATGAATGTGGGTTGGAAGGGTGTCTTTGTGCAGGAGAGACACTTTAATTCTCTCCCCTCTGCCCTCCACAGTGGTCCTTTGGGGTGACAATGTGGGAAATTGCCACCCGGGGCCAAACCCCATATCCAGGAGTGGAGAACAGTGAGATTTACGACTACCTGCGCCAGGGAAACCGCCTGAAGCAGCCTGTGGACTGTCTGGATGGACTGTGAGGACCCTTGGGACCCCCCCATCCCCACCCAGTCCTAGATTTCATTCCAAAACCCTGAGCACCCCACAGGGCCCCGATATGTCCAGAACCCTCTAAAACCTGTACAGAATCCTTCAGACTGTTGAGGAGGCCACCTCCCCCTTCACCACTGTGTGAGTTAACAAAAGGTTTGCGAGAGTGTGAATTAGCAAAAGGCACCCTTTCCTCCTTTGCCTTGAGCGTGGAGTGCAGGCTTGACCAGCCCCCTCAGCCAGTTATCCAGGAGCAGTGAATGACTATGCGACCTTACCTGGGGGCCCTGCCTCTGGGCTCCCCACTCTTGAAGAATTCTAATCCACCCCAAACTCTGTGCTTTCCCCCAGGTGCTTTTCAGCACCCAGAATCCTCTGCAAAACCCTTCACTTTGTTATATTGAGCTTCTTCAAACTCTCAAATCTCCTCTGAGATGGTCTCAGGCTCCTTTAGGATAGTGCTTATCAAACTTTGTTGTCTCTTGACACCCAGAAAAGCAGAACATTTATCCAGTACTTAGGCGGTAAAGAGATGATGTTGCTAGGTCAGGAGGGAACAGCATGGGGCTGCAGACTCCCCAGCTGCTCCGTGGGTATCAAAGAGCTGAGGGGAGTAAGAATAATAGCTAATGTTTCTATAGAACTTACTAGAAGGCACTGCATTGGGTGCTTTGCATGTATTCATTCATTTGGTCCTTATAATGGCCATATGAGGTAGGTTGGTATCATTATTCCCATTTTCAAGTGAAGAAACTGAGGTCCAAAGAAACGTAAATCACTTGCCAAATGCTGCCTAGCTGGCGTATCGCTTATATAGACCCCCAAATCTAGTAGCTTAAAACAAGCATTTTTCACCTCACAGTTTCTGAACTGAGGCCAGAGTCTGGGAACAGCTTAGCAGGGTGATTCTGAATTAGGGTTTCTAATGAGATTAGAGTCAAGACGGGGCTGCAGCCATGTGAAAACTAGGACTAGACGATTGTTTTCAAAGTAGTTCACTCCCATGGCGATGGCAAAAGGCTTCATTCAGTTCCTTGCTATACAGACTCCACCATAGTATTGCTTGAGCTTCCCCACAACATGGGGGCTGAGCTCCCCCAGATGAGCATTCTAAGAGAAAAAGCAAGGAAGAAACCACAATGTCTTTTATAGTCTCGGCAGTCACCCATACACCATCACAGCTGCTGAGTCAGAATCAAGTCAAGAAGTCCAGCCCATACTCAAGGGAAGATAAATTAGGCGCCGTCTTTTTTTCTTTTATCCTCACCTGAGGACATTTTTTTCATTGATATTTTTAGAGAAAGGAGGGGGGGAGGGGGAGAGAGAAAGACAGAAACAGAGAGAGACATCGATGTGAGAGAGAAACAGCGATTGGTTGCTTTCTGTAGGCTTTCCATCCAGGGATTCAACCAGCAACCTAGGTTTGTGTCCTCACCAGGAATGGAACCCATGACCTTTCAATGTTCCACAAAACAATGTGGAACATTGTTTTGAATAGAGGAATGTCAAAGAATTTGAACATATACTTTAAACCAATACAGGTTACAAATCTTTGATACCAGTCTGTTCTGGGGAACCATATTGGAAAGCTCTGCTCTAGCAAACCCTCACTAGACCACCACCCATACCCAAAGAGGTTCCCCAAGACCTTTTTCAGCTCTCGAGTTTCCCAGGAACCCCTCAGAAACTCTTGAGCATTTCTCAGTCCCCTTTGATGCCCCCAACTGCTATACCAACTGCTACAGTTTCCTCCAGCCTCATGAAATGTCCTTGGTCCCCTGAGTATCCTCAATTCCCCCCCCACCAAACTCCCCAGAAATCTCTTCTAAGCCCCTGCTCAGTCTCCCACCCCTCACTTTGCTGTCCTAGGTATGCTCTGATGTCCCGGTGCTGGGAGCTAAATCCCCAGGACCGACCGAGTTTTGCAGAGCTGCGGGAAGATCTGGAGAACACGCTGAAGGCCCTGCCTGCTGCCCAGGAGCCTGATGAAATCCTCTATGTCAACATGGATGAGGGTGGGAGTCATGCTGAACCACTTGGAGCTGCCGGAGGAGCTGACCTCCCAACCCAGCCTGATCCTAAGGATTCCTGCAGCTGCCTCACTGCGGCTGAGGTCCATCCTGCGGGACGCTATGTCCTCTGCCCTTCCACAGCCCCTGGCCCCACCCTGCCTGCTGACAGGGGCTCCCCAGCACCCCCAGGGCAGGAGGATGGAGCCTGAGACAACCTTCCAACTGAGACTTTCTCTCAGGACCCAAGCTAGGCACTGCCATTGGGGGACCCCCGCCCCATTCTCATTCCTGGCCTTACCTCCACCTGCAGCCCTCCTTTCCTACCAATTCCACTTCCATCCCACACAGACCCTGTCCCTTTCCATACCTTAGTGTCCCCATGAGGGTTGGACTGCAATCCTTAAGGGTTCTCCTATGTCTAACATTCCAAGATTCTGGCTTCTATGGTTTAGAGTCGAGGTTTCAAAGATGCTATGAGCCTTTGGTTCTAAGGACCAGAAATTCCAAAGTCTCTAATTCTAAAATGCTAAGGTTCTAGACATAGAAGTTCTAAGACTTACGTTCTAAAGCTCTGAGATTCTATGGCACTAGACTTTTCTGGTTTTAAGATTCTTGATAAAAACCTGTAAGTTTTGGGGTTTTAAAGTTCTAAGATTCTAAGCCAAGGAAATAAGATTCTGTGATGCTAGATTTTCTTCTCCTTAGGGTATAAGATTCTGGATTCTAAAATTCTACAATTCTAAACATGGAGGTTTTAAGGCCTAGTGTTCTAAAATTTGATGTTCTAAGCTTCTTAGAGTATAAATTCTCTGGCTGACTCTAGACTCTAGAGCAAAAAAGCTTCAAGATTTTGTCTTTTCAAGTTTTAAGATTATAATGATGGTCAATTCTAGGGCCTAAGGCTTTATGGTCCTCGAAGCTCTTGTTATGAGATTCTGGATTCTGAAGTTCTAAGATTCTAGAATTTGCAATTCAAAAGTTCTGATAATCTACAGATGGAGATTCTAAGGTGATGTTCTGAGAACCTAGAGTTTCTGTGCCTAAGATTCAAGATCATATGCTTCAAAGTTCTAGATTATTAAACTCCAAGATTCTAATGTTGTTCAGTTCCATGTTCTGAGGCACTGTAGGTTCCATTGGTTCAAGATTCTGGATCCTCAGCATCTAAGGCTCTACAGTTAGCTGTGAGTAACTAGATGCAAAAGTTCTAATCATTTCTAATGTTGGACACTTTAGGTTCTATGCTGCATTTCACCTGTCTAGGATTTTAGTTAAGGACCCAAGAATCCACAATTCTAGATCTTAAGATTCTAAGCATTCTAGTTTTAAGATTCAAATGTCGTAAGATTTTAAAGATCTGCAGGTCTAGAACTCCCAAGTTTCCAAGGTTCTAACATAAAATAGTATTCTTCTGTGTGACTCTCCCTAAGCCACATCTGCTTCCTCCTACCCTCATGTGGGGGTGTGCTCCCTTCCAGCCTGTGCAATGCATTAGGGATGTCTTCTTTCCCCAGGGAACAACCTTTCTCCTTTTGGGCCGTGCTGCCCCCCTGAGCCAGTCCCTCATACCCCCTGTACAGAGTGTGGACTCTGGCGCCTCTAGAGGGGCTTAGATCACATAAAACTTGGTAAACACACTCATGCCTCTTCTTGTCTCTACTCAGCAGTCATGTGGTCTCCGTGACAACTCAGTTTCCCCCTGTCAATAAAAAGAAGGGTTTGATGGGGTGTAGGAGTCCTCTCCTCTCTAAAAGAAGGTAGAAATGAACGTACACATAGACAAAAAAAATCATGCAAGCAAAGAAATGCAGACTCTCCAAAACCCTCACTGAGGAATAGGCACATAAATACAGGATCATACAGAAACACCCATTTCCCAAAGTAGCAGACACATGAATTCATGGGCATACTCAGGCATACCTGGTCAAAAATACTGAGGCACTAAAATTCAGATACACAAAGTAACAGACACACAAAATTACAGATACAAACATATACACGGGCAGATACTCACCAGGAACAGGAAGAAACTAGAGTAACACAGACAAAGTAAAGTTGCACAAATAGCGAGAGACATATACGAGTTCCTGGGTGTGTCCCGCACCAGATGGAGGAGCCCTTGGCAGCGCCCGGACGCCCCCTGGTGGCGGCTGGTGAGAACGGAGAACAGTTAAATCCGGAGCGCAAACTTTTGTAGGATAAATCATTGTGGGAAGCTGGGAGGAGAAAGGAAGTCGGACGTGGGCGAGGGGCGGGGTGTCTGGACTGGAACCTCCGGGCCCACGTGAGTGTCTGTCCCGCTTCTGAGTGGGTGCAGTGTGTCTAGGTTGCTGTAGTGTAAGCTGCTTGTGTAACTGCCTGCCCTACGTGTATTTCTCATTTGATGCCGCGGGCCCGTGCAGACTTTAGTAGGCGCACCTACACTGCAGTTCGGTGTATTGTCCCCCGGATTAATGCATGTGATCTGATCTCACAGTCATTTGTTTATCTGTGTTGTGTGTGCCTTTGTCTTCACAGAGGTTGTGTGTGGCTTTTGTGCGTTTAAGGTAGGGCTCAGCGGGCAGCCGGTGTTCGTATGTGTATATCGATTGTATGTGTTACGGAAGTTTTGTGTTTCTTCAGTTAGAGGCGACAGGTGGGGTGCAGGGTTGGACACTGTGAAACTGTGGCGTTTATATTTAGTAGTGTGAGGCTTAGCTACTGACCTGTGTATTTGAGCTTGTCAGTACAGACGTCAAACAGCCAGATTACAGCAGTTTAGAGGATTTCGGCTATAGACCCGCGACCTCCTTGAGGTCTTCCTCGAGAGGAAGGCTCTCTGGTCTCACGCAGAGCGCTTACTCCACGTAAGATACCCAACTGTAGAGGAAGACGGCGGGCAAGCTATGATTGTGGAAAAGGGCGCCCGATGAGGTGCACTATTAAGGGGAAAGGGTGCGTTTTCCTTTACAACCGTTCTTAGTATAGTCTCTGTTGTCAAACCTTCAGGACTCTCTGAAGTCAAAGCGTTGCTTTTTGCCCCAAGGCAATTGAGTATCTTCCAGATTAAGAATAATTTATCTACTTAATTAACTATTTCATATACCTCCCTCCACAGTGAAATTTGTGAGGCCGTCCGCTGAAGAATGGCCAGTCTGGTTAGCTTTTCCTGAAGCGATCAAACTGTACGAGCTTTAGTGAGATAAGACAATAATAGCGATTGGTGGGTATATTGTTTTTGAAACTGCCCTAACGCCTTTTTCCCGTTTCCTAAAGGCAATAGTGAAAGCGAGGGGGGGGGGGATTGTCTGCCGACCCTCCATTTGATTGGTTCTAGTGGATTTACCCGCTTGTACTCCTAGGGGCGGGAGATATAGACCAATGAGGATATGTGTTACAGAGACACTAGTTTGATGTAGGGGCTGCGCAGGAAAGGCAGTGGGGCGCGCTCATTCTGGGTCTCATCGCTGGTTGGCCCGAGTCCTTACTCCCGTTCCCTCATTTGACCCTACGGGAGTGAGCGCAAGGTCGCTACCCAATCACCGCGCGCTCCGCCTCCCATCTTTTCCCGCCCTCCGCTGGGGCCGCTGTACCGACGTAGGCCAACGCTTCCTCCCCGGCAGCTCCTGAGCCCTTTCATTCACGGTCTTTTGAAAGCCACTCTCTGATTGACTGAGTCTCCAGCCCGCGCCCGTTGCCCCCATGCGGTGGCCAATTGGCACCCTTGTTGCATAGCATGGAACCACAGAGGAGGGGGAGGCGGCGGCGGCCATTTTGAGTTGCCGCCGCCATTGGAGTGGGGCCCCCCCCTTTTCCCCCTTTGCCTCCTGACAGTAAAGGTTTAAGGGGGACAGGGCCCTGGGAGGCCGGGCCGGGCTCGGGGGGCCCCCAGGGGCCCGGGCCATGGATGTGCGCCGTCTGAAGGTGAACGAACTTCGAGAGGAGCTGCAGCGCCGCGGCCTGGACACTCGCGGCCTCAAGGCCGAGCTTGCTGAGCGGCTGCAGGAGACGCTGGAGGCCGAAGAGCCCAAACAGGGGCGACCCGGGCACAACAGCGAGGAGGTCGAGACCGAGGGGGGCTCCGAGCTGGAGGGGACCTCGCAGCCACCGCCGCCGGGGCTGCAGCCGCACCCGGAGCCTGGCGGCTACTCGGGGCCGGACGGACACTGTGAGAGTGCGCGGGGCGGGGGCCGGGGAGCCCGGAGTCTGGGCCGAGGAAGGGCTGTGGGACGCGGGAGTCTGGCGCCTGGCGGATCCCGCTAACCGCCGCTGAAAGGATCTGGGTACAAGGGCCTCGGGACGACCGGAGGCTGGATCTTGGCATTTGGTGCAGGGGAGATACTGGAAGTGGGGACTAGGTTTCGGAGATGAGGAAAGTCTAGGGGTGGGGGCGGGTGTAGAGGATTCTGGAGCCTAGGGCTCGGAGACCGGAAGCCGTGGTTTGTGGAGCTGAAGAAGAGAGTCGGAAGAACAAGAGGTTTTCTCTTGGGGACCGAGGAGAGGGTCTTGGAAATGGTGATCATAGGGTTTGGAGCTGGCTGGGCTTAGAGGCTTTGCTAGCCCAGCTTGTGGGTTGGGCGTTGGGAGCCGTGTTTTCACAGAAGGGAAAGTAACGACCAGGTGTCCAGGGCTGGGAGTGTTTTGAGGATGGAGGATCCTGGAGTTTGCTGCCGGATGGGGCAATGGGAAGTCTCATATTTCCTACTGGGATGGGTTGGTGAGATGGAAGTGCTGGTGTCTGGCGAGGGAGGATCTGATGGACTGGGTGCTCTGGTGTTTAGCTGATGAGCATTTAGGGGATGTGGGAGACCCACATCTGTATGAGGAGGGCCTGGGGGACTCCGAGATCCAGGGCTGAAGGCCAACCTTGGGGCAGGCGAATTTGATGCTGGGAATCTGGGGGCCTTCTGGTTCACTTCTAGAGGAGGCACAGGGAGCCCTGATGCCTTGAAGCTGGCAAGGGAGAGAAGGATGCTTCATTGGAGAAGAGACCTAAAGGTCTAGCGCTGGCAAGGCTCTGAGGACAGATAACTCAGTGGCTGCTGCTGAATGATACTGGATTATCAGTGTGGAAAAGGAGTGGGTGGGGTGGGGCAGATAATAAGTTGGAGTTTGAAGTTGTTTGAGTTTCTGGGGGGACAGTATCCCTGTGTCCCCGACAGGTGTGTGTAGCTGGTCTAGCACATGTGGAGAAAGGAGGAGTGTATAGGAAGGAGAAAGAAAACGGGGCAGGGAGTGGTGCTGGGTGCTCAGGATGGAGTAGGGGGAGTGTTTCTGGAGCGGAGTGTCTCCCTGAGAGGGCTACTTTGTTTCCAAAGCCATTGTGTGCCTAGAGATTGGTGTTGGGGAGGGGGGCGGTGTTGAAGAGGTATCAGGGAACCTCTGCATCACTCAGAAGGTATGACTAGGAATGAGGGGTTACAGTAGATCTGTGATTGTCTAAAGAGAGGAGACTTTTGGGTGGGAGGGAGTAAATCTGGAGTTAGAAAAGGGTGGCTCTCTAGCAGGATTGGGGAATGAGGATCAGACAGGTTAAGGAATAAGTAGAAAGGACTCTGGCATCCAAGGATTGTGGTATTTCTCTGAAAAGAGAGCACCCTGGGCCTGGAAGCTCAGGGAATGAGGAGAACAAGAAGGTCAGGGAAGAGACTAGATTTGGGGTTAGTATTAGGTATGTACTTGTTTGTAAGAGATGGGATCTCCTGGAGGGGGGCAACTTGAATGTAGATTTGGGGTGGAAGGTGGCCTGGGGATTGGCCAGGACTCAGGTGCTGGGAAGAACACTTCCCATTGCAGAGACCTGGGAAGGAGGGAGGAGTGAGTGGCCCAGTGTGTGTCTAGGGCAAGAGAGCCCCTGGCAGGAATGCCTGGAAAGGTCCAATGGCCAGAGTTGTCTCAGGGAAGTAAGACACAATCAGGAAAGTTAGATGCCTCAAACACAGGCTCTAGATTCAGACAGATCTTGCTTTGAATATGGCTCCATGACTTGGGCAAAAGTCACACTTCACTTCTCTGAACCCTGGTCTCCTTATGCATAAAATAGGGATAATAATAGTGCCCGCTGGATAGTTACAAATGAGATCCCATGTCTAAGGGGCCTAGCACTGGGTCTGCTTGTTATCAGGAGGTGGATGTTTTAGAGAGTGGAGAAGGACTCCCAGAATCACAGTCCCTGTGGGCACGGCTTCCTCTGTGGGCCCAGGAGAAATTGTCTGGGACCTGAGGCTTTGAGGGAAGAGCACTGTGCTTGGAATCTGGGAGAAACAAAACAGTTTGAAAGGGCGTCCTATGTCCCAACTAAGGAGGTATTCTATTTCTCTCTCTCTCGCCTGCCCCTCACAACAAAATCCTTTGAGCTCCCCTCACTGCCACCCTCCAACCTTTCCTTCAGCTCTGGTACACAGACCTGTTGCAAATCATGTGATCTGCGACTTTCCTCCCTTTGGGCTGTACCTGGTTTGTGCCCAGATGTATTTGTCCTCTGAGAAGGGATCCAGTCAGTTAGCAAATGGCAAGATAGTCTCTCCTTCCCTGTGGTTCTGCCTCACTGGTCCTGACACAGCCACTTAGGGCTCCAGAGACTCTTAGCTGAGCTTGCCCTGCGGGTGGAGAGCCTGCTTGCTGCTCATCCTAGGTTTCCATACTTCTTTCTGGGTTTGGCTGCAAGGTTCTTAAGGAAATTTCAGTCTTGGTACTCTGGTTTTAGTCCCACCTCTGAGTTTTCACATGTGTTACCCCAACCCCAGGAATGTTTACTCCATCCTCATCACTTCTGTTTTCTTATCTGGGTCCCTGGTCCTTCTTTGTAGCCCTTAACACAGTCATAATTAGTTTGTGTGTGTAAGTATTTGTTTAATGTGGGTCTGTCTCTCTAAACTGAAGGCTTCAGTGGAGCAAGTTTATTCTCAGCTGCATCCCAGGGTCTGGTGTGTAGTACCCACTCCATGAATAGTTAATATTGTTATTTTTACCACCTTTCAGCTAAGCTCCTCCTGCACCACAGGTACCTTCCCAGAACCCTTCCCACCTAACTCCAAATATTTCAGGACTTATCTCTAATGAGTCTGGAGGCCACTGTTACCATGATTCCTGTTTTCTTAACACTTTATTTCCTTTCTCCCCATTTCCCCTTCAGCTGGTTACCTACCCCTTATCTCTGCAGCTATTGCAATTTGGAAGACAGTCTTTAAGAGGGTTGGTTGTGCAGGTGGGAATAATGACTTGGGCTGGACAGAGGGCTGATTTGTGCCCTGGACAATCTTAAAGGTTGTGCCCTCAAGGCAGCTTCCCAAGCACTATACCTTGTCAGAGAATAGCTAGGCTGGTGTTTTTTTAACTGTGCTCCATGGAGTTCCAGGTGTATGTAGAGTAGTAGCTTCCCACCCTGGAGTGGGGTCTTAGAGGGTGAGGTCAAGTTGGGCACCTTCTCTGATCCTCCATCTCCTCGCTTCAACCAGAGCAGTTCTGCTTCAGTTGGTTTTACATGTTGGAATTCTGTAGAACCTAGTCACAGGTGGATCTTCAACCTTTTGGGGGGCAGGAGGCCACGTTCTCAGGCAGCTGAGGCTGCTAACTGCCCAGATAGGGTTTCATCTGAAGGTGTTGTTACAACTTTTAGCCTCTGGCAAACTGTCTGTCCCCAGGGTCACATAAAAAAGCCACCTCTATTCCCAAGAAGGACCCTTCTAACTGGCTGTTTTTTGTTTTAAGATGTCATGGACAATATTACCAGACAGAACCAATTCTATGAGACCCAGGTCATCAAGCAAGAGAACGAGTCAGGCTATGAGAGGAGACCTTTGGAAATGGAGCAGCAGCAGGCCTATCGCCCAGGTAGGAAAGCACGTGGTACCTTTCTTTTGAGGAAAATGGAATCTACAGGGTGGGCGAAAGCAGGTTTGCAGTTGTTCTTATGGACGATAATATAATAATTAATAAATTATAATACAAGAATATACTCTGTTTTGTGTACTCACAACTGTAAACCCAGTTTTGCCCCGCCCTGTAAGCGTGGCTCTTACCCTCTACTTAGATCCTGCCTTTCCAGAGAGAGTTTGCATCTTCCTCTTGGGCTTTGTTGCTCTGGCAAAGTTCTTTTAAAAGAAAGAATTTAGTCCCGCTCCCAGGTGTTGGGAGAGGGGAGTCTTCCTGGTTATCTGTTGTCACGTATTAGTGTCAGCACCCTGGAGAGTTTAGACCAAGAGGCAAATACTTGGGTCTTACTTAGAATCTTAGAGTGTGGAAGCGAGAAAGGACCTTTCCCATGCTCTGAAGAATATTGTTCAGGAGCTGTCATTAGGGACTTTTCAGAAGAGGGTTCCTTGGCTAAGCATATCCGGAAATGCAGCAAATGCTTTACCACCTCTGGGAGAGTCACCGTGCTCATTAGAGCATTAAAAGCTCTGAGAAGTCCTGGATTACAAAAAGGTGGTGTCGTGTGGTTTAAATCCAGGATTTCCTAGACATGTAAATATCTCTTTGCAGAACGAAGTTCTTCATTATGCCACTTTAAGAAACAGATGCTATCTTGTTCTCTCTCTATTGTATACGTTGGGGAGGTGGCTTTTCTAATGACAGAGCTGGGGTTAGAACTCAAAAAGCTGGCTCCTGGGACACTGCATTCCTCACCATTTGTGTCCTACTGTTTGGAAAGCAGGGCCCCACTCTTGAGTAATGACAGAGCCTGGGCTGACTCTTAGTCTTGTGCTCCTTTCACTGCATTGTGGCCCTAGTGCCTTAGTGAATATAGTTGCTTCTGTCTAATTCCATTCTGGTTCATCCACACAGTGAAATCCCCAGGCATTTCTTATGGGTTTGTTAAGATTTTAACAAATGTAGGTTAAACTGCAGATTTATGTCAGGCTCTGTGAGACTTGTGGGATCGTTTGGCCCAAGGAAAGTATTTTTTGTGCTATTATCAACAGACATTTATCAGGGCCTCCTGTGAGCTCAGTGCTGTGCTGGGAACCAGAGAGGCCCTCCGGGTGGGTGAGCACCCTCCCTGTCCTGGAGAACTTCTCTGAGAAATTTGGCCTGCATGCCAAAGCCAGAGGATGATCCAGGGTGGCCTTGGGTTGAGTGCTGAGATCAGTAGATAAAGGGATCCACAGCATCAGGTGTAGGTCCTGTGGGAGAAATGAGGCTGAATCCATGGTTTGCTCTCAATTAGGCACTGATTCTTGGAGTCTGCCTAAGACCAGGACATTCCTATGGTCCACAGCATGTTATCCTATCTTCACCTCCTATTCACAGTGTGATTCACTGAGGCCATCGCACCTGTGGGCTGGCTTAAGCGAAGACCACCCCCTCTTTTGGAGTGATTCTGGTCTTTGTGGTAGAGTGATGAAAGCGAGGGGAGTTAGCTGCAGGATGAGAATATGCTATTGAATTGACTTTCCCCCTACTTGTAAGACTGAAGAAGGTTTGTAAGAACTGAGGTGAAGAGATTCTTTGGGAGGAGAAATTGGAGAAGGTAGGCTTGTGTAATCTCAGTGTAAAGGGATCTTAGAAGTCCTCCAGTGTTCCCACCTACTGGGTACAGACCAAGGTAGCTGCCAACTTTCATGAGCTCTTTGGCAAAGTAGCCGAAGGCAGGCCTGCCACCTTTAGATAGGTCCTTAGAGAGTTAGTCCTTATTTATGCTGAAGTCCCCTGTGCCTCTCCATGAAGCCTGAGAGTTACCTGACATCTGTCACCTCATTAGCTGCCGGTGCTGATGTGCCTAGTTGGCTATCCCCAACCCCGCTTTATCCTACACTGTTCTCCGGTACAGCCTTCTAGCTCCCTCAGCAGGCTTCCATTGAACCCAGCCCTGCATCACTGTCGTCAGGATCCTAACAACGTCTCCTCAGGTAAAGGGACGCAGCAAACTGATAACTGAGGAGTTTTCGAGTGTCTTGACCATCTGGAATTGTCCCGACAGTGGAAGTGAAGACAGAGATGAAGCAGGAAGGACCCCCCAGCTTCCTCCCGCCTGAAGCATCTCAGCTCAAGCCAGACAGACAGCAATTCCAGAGTCGCAAGAGGCCTTATGAAGAAAACCGGGGAAGGGGGTACTTCGAGCACCGAGAGGATAGGAGGTGGGTATGTGAGGCAGCTAGTAGTCACCCTTGTTCCAGTAGGTCTCTGTGTCTGTAGCGCAGTGCCTGTGGGGGCCTTTATATTAACCAAAGGGGCAGGCAGAGCAGAGTTCTCCCTGCCCTCGCACTCTCCCTCCTGTTCTTCCTGCACTCACTATCAGATTCAACTTTGCAAAACTTAATGCTTCCCATTACCTTCAGGGTCAAGTCCAAACACAACTTCCACATGTAAGACGTTAGCCTACCTTTTCAGTCCTTTGCCCCACTGCCCTGCAGCCCAGCATAGTGCGCCATTAATGTGTGCTCAGAATCCCTCTATTGAAAAAAGACCTATTTCCTGACCCTTCTCTCAGACACACCCCCTTCATCCATCTACTCACTCACTCACTCACTCATTCATTCATTCATTGTCAGTTCTCATAGTGCTTTCACCCTTGGGCTGAGCACAGGGGACAGATGAGTGGGACGCTGGGTTTGTCTTTCTGTTGTTGACGATGTAGGGACTCAGACATAGACACAAGGAAGCCACAATAGTCAGCATGTCGGGAGTTCACAAGACGGAGGGCTTCTCCATCCTGGTCGTTTGCTTTTTCTCTTTTCTGACAAGCCATCCCCCTCCCCTCACCCCAGGTCCTATCCTACCCTTCCTCCCCTCCTTCAGCTCCTGTGTGAAGCCTTCAGATCACAGAAAGTGAGAATGACCATTCCTCTCCTAGTCATGTGACACATTTTATTTACTACCTGGGGGAGTTTATCCTCTAACTGTGGCTCTCTTTGAAATAGGGACTGGGTCTCACGGGCTGTGACTAAAGTTAGGACATGGAACCTCTCTTCTGAGTTTCTCCCGCTGCCTCCCACAGAGCAGAGACCTAGAGCTACTTGCTGATGGAGAGCAGAGAAGGAGCACTTGCTCTGATCAGACTGGCAGTGAAAGCGTCAGGGCGGATCCCCGGTGCGATGAGCTCCATTGATCAGGGTCTGCACTAGCCCTGCACTGGCAGGGCTGGCGGGCGCGGCACCAGAGGGAACCTGCTCCTGATGAGTGCCAGTAGCAAGATGGGCGTGGGGCTCCTGATTTGGGCACATAGTAGATTAGGGTCATCCCAGGTGTCCCTAGGCATCAGACCCCACCCTTTTACCACTCCCCCTTACTCCCATACATTAGAAACCAGCGGTATTTAAATAGAGTCCCCTTTTAGTGTTTTGGTAGGAAGACAAATCTTGTTCATAATTCAGGACACTTTTGAAAGAGAAGACGACTGAAAAAAAAGGTCATTTGATATCCTTTCAGATGTGGAGTTTTAGGAAGCCTGGTATGTGGATAGATTATAATTACTGAGGTTTATCTGAGCCTTTGCACATTCCCCTTCCTGGCCTGGTACCCTTTGGGCTACCACAGCTTCCCATCAGTAACAGAGTTTGTATGGAGGCAGTTCTCAACATGTTGAGGGTGTTAGTCAGAATTTGGGGGTATGAGACAAAAATCCTCTTTTAAAAAGCTCTCCAAATTATGCTAATGGCCATCTTTAGAGCATGCCCTCTCTGGTCCCTGTCCCCACACTAGGAGTTAACAGTCATTGCTTTTATTGCAAGGATGTAAGGTTACAGAGGTGTTGGGTTTTGGTAGGGTTTTTTGGTTGGTTGGTTGGGCTTTTTCCCCTAACCTCTGGGGGAACAAAAGGAAATCCAGGAAGCAGCCTCAAGGCCACTTGTGAAGTCCAGCAGAACCTTCATTTCCCTTCCTCTGCTCATTCAACCATTCTCATGTGACCTAACCCCTATTTCTGGCACAGGGGTCGCTCTCCTCAGCCTCCCGCCGAAGAGGATGAAGATGATTTTGATGATACTCTTGTTGCCATCGACACGTGTGAGTCCTTGTGTGCCTATCTGATTCTGCCTCTAGTTAGTATTTGGAAACTGTGCCTTGACCTTCATAGAATCTCTGCGCGGCACCATCCAGAGCCAGTGTTAGTCCAGGTAGGGTGCTGGTTTGGAGGTAGAAGACCTGTTCCCACCTCGAACTGTGGGATCCTAGGCAAGTCATTCTACTTCTTGGAGGAGTGACCTTGCCCTAATACCTCAGAGGACTTTCAGTGACACTCAACAGAGAATGGACACGAGAGCAATTTTGAAGAACATGAACACCCTGTGCCCACGGGGCCGGGGGGGGGGGGGGGGGGGTGTTGTCATCTAATCAGGAAGGGAACCTGAGTGCTGCTGGGGAAACTTAACTCTTTGACGACCAGGTCCCCAGTTTCCATTAGGCGCTCACGTTCCTGGTGAAACCAATGCCACTTTGTCCTCTGAAGCATTAACCCGGCCCCTCCTGCTCTCTGTCCTTCAGTTCAGTTTTCTTTCCACTGGATGAGTGGCTTTCCCCTTGACTCTGCATCTAAACACTTAGAGGAATGATTATAGAGGTCCTGTCCTTCTTCAGACCTCCTAAGACAGAATGAAAATGGTAGAGCCTGCAATTGTGAATTTATAAATGCACCCAGAAGCCAAAACAGGCCTAAAAACACTACTTTTCAACAAAGCAGAAAGTAAACAGCAGTTGGTTCATGTATTTTGTTGTCTAGCTCATGTTTACAGAGCGGTGGCTACATGCAGAGTCTTCAGCTTACAAGAGGAGGTGGGAGCCTCTGGTGCCTGGATGGCACGTGTGAATCAGGGCCAGGTGTTTGGACAGCTGTTGGTGGTGGGAGTCTGGCAGAGTTAGCTCAGGGAGGTGGTTGAAGTGAATGGCAGTGGGGATTAGCCTTTCTTAAAGTTATAAAATTCTTGAAAATAGTGAGCGTATGGACCTTAACCCTAGGAAGTGTATATCCCCATAAAAGGCATCTGTATGTAAATTTCAGGAGTGCCTCTCAATGGCCATCCTCAGACCTGAGCCAGGTGAAGGACATCAGCTTCTATGTGAAGTCGCTGCTTTGCGCTTACAGAGGCTGGTTTGCAGTAGTCCGTACCCTTTCTATGGAAAGGGAGATTGGCTAGGCAGTGCGGCTGGCTTTTCGTGAACTTGTCCCCACAGTGTGTCAGCTTGTGTACCCCTGGTTAACACTCTTGGGGAACTTAATCTTTGCCTGTGCCTGCCTCTCGGATCTGTAAAACATCAGTCAACTCCAGGCTTTTTCCTTCACAGATAACTGTGACCTCCACTTCAAGGTGGCCCGAGACCGGAGTAGTGGCTACCCACTCACAATTGAGGGCTTCGCATACCTGTGGTCTGGAGCCCGTGCCAGCTATGGGGTCAGAAGGGGCCGTGTGTGCTTCGAGATGAAGGTGAGTGGAAACAACAGAGAGGACAGGGACAGAAAGCAGGTCCATCCTTTGGAATAGCCTGTGATCAGCCACCTTGGTCTGGCCCACAATTTTAAGAGATTCGATTGAGCATAGACTTTATGTCCAAGCAAAAACAGCATAATGAACTCAAAAGAACTATACCATTGCTGAACACTATATCAGAAAAGCAGGCCAACCATACACTGCTTCATCAAGCAGATTTTTCTTTGGTGGAATTTAACCCAGGTATTATACAGCCATCCACTCTGGGGTAACATGTTTGTAGAACTGATAAAAGGAGTCGTTTGGAAGAAAAGTGAGCTAGGAAGAATGGACTCAGTCATCACCAATTACAGGGATGCTGGAGGGAGAGCAGGGCAAAGAAAGTTTCTGCCATGAGGCCACCCTCATCTCTCCACAGTTCCACGTCAGGTTATGTTTATGAAAATAACACATTTATGTTGAATAAAAGTTCAGATGACATAGAACAATATAGGGTAAAACAAAAGTTTTTAAGAATCTTAAAAGCAGCAAGAGAAAAGGAGTTACTTTACCTACAAAGGAGTTCCCATGAGACTATCAGCTGATTGCTCAGAAGAAACCCTACAGGCAAGAAGGGGCTGGAAAGGAGTATTCGAAGTCATGAAAGGCAAGGGCCTACACCCAAGATTACTCTCTCCAGCAAAGCCATCATTTAGAATGGGAGGGCAGATAAACTGCTTCCCAGAGAAGGTCAAGTTAAAGGAGTTCATCATCACCAAGCCCTTATTATATGAAATGTTAAAGGAGCTTATCTGAGGAAAAGAAGATCAAAACTGGGAACAATAAAATGACAACAAGCTCAACTATCAATGACCGAACCTAAAAAAATAACAAAAACTAAGTAAACAACTAGAATAGGAACAGAATCACAAAAATGATCACATGGAGGGTTTTCAGCAGGGAGGGGGAGAGCGGAGAATTGGGGGGAAAGGGGCAGGGAATAAGAAGCATCAATGGTAGGCACAGAATAGGCAGGGGGAGGTTAAGAAAAGCATAGGAAATGGAGAAGCCAAGGAACTTATACGTACCACCCATGGACATGAACTAAGGGGCTGGGGGTGGTGTTGGAAGGAGGAGGGTGCAGGGCGGAGGGGGATAAAGGGAAGAAAAAAATGGAACAATTATACTAGTATAATCAATAAAATATACTTAAAAAAAAAAAAAACCAAAGTTGTGCTCATGTCCTCCCAGTCCCCCTACCCTTTGTACCCTCCAGAGGTAACTTAACAATTTCTTGTTTGTCCCCCTTTGTATCCACACACTTATGATAGCTACTATCTATAGAACACTTTGCATGCATTAGGTATGTTGCCAAGCTCTTTACACAGATATCTCCATTAATCCTCACAGAGCCGTCATGAAATAAGAATTCTTATCCCCATTTCTTAGAGGGAGAGGCTGAGACCCAGGGTTATTTTCCATTGACTGTAAGGCACCATTGGTTTTAAGTTCTGTGTTGTTCTGGGTACTACTCACAGGGAAACACTACCAATGAGACTAACAGTGCTTTCTTAGCACATCAGTTTCAATACATGTCCTGCTTTTGGAGATGGTAATGTATGGAAAATGGGCATCTGAAAGTCAAATGACATCGGGTACCTTTTCAGAAGCTACAAATAACTTCAAATAGATATGGTTATTAGGCACTATAATTTCTAACTTAAGAGATTAAGTCAAAAGGTGCTTTTTATCCTTTCCTTGTATTACATTTAATACTATATATGTTGGACATTTTTTCTAAATTTCAGCGCATTATGTCTGCCTCATTTTTTTGTTAACTGCTGCATCATTCTGTGGTATGGATGTGCCATAATGTGACCAGTGCCTTATGGGAGGTTTTTTCTGTTTGTTTCTTTCCAGTAATACAAACAATGCCACACTAAATTGCAGGGTTGTATAGCATTGTGCATTTGCCATTTGAATGCAGACAGCCAGATTTCCCTCCAAAGATATTGCACCAGTTTATCCTTCTACGCCAAATATTAGGAGTCCTTGTTTTCCCTGCAGGGGAAAGTGTTAGAACTAAAAATAACTGTATTTTGAAATACCTACCTCTGTGGCCCTGCACTCTGCTTAGCCCTTTGGAGGCCCTGGTTTCAGTGCAACAGGCCCTTCAGAACAGCTTAGACGCCTTTTTCCCAGCTACAAAAGACATTGCTGTTTTTAATGCGTATGTGCTTCCCTCCTATATTGCCTCATAACCCACCAGCCTCCAGAGAATGAATCGATTCTGAGCCCTCCTGTTCTCTGTCCCCAGATCAATGAGGAAATCTCCGTGAAACACCTTCCATCTACGGAGCCTGACCCACACGTTGTCCGTATCGGCTGGTCCCTTGATTCCTGCAGCACCCAACTAGGTAAGAGGAGGGCAGCCAGGAAGTCCAGAGGAGAGCGGTTGCTGTCCCTGGATTCTTGAGCTTCCTAAACTTCTCTTCCCAATGTTGGACTCTGCTAGGCTGCAGTGGAACAGGCACAGGGGTTATGTATAATCCACTGCCCAATTGGGCAGACAAGATCCAACTGGACAGCCCGCAGTTTTATAACAGCTTTTCTATGAAAAATTGGGCCTTCATCTTTTAGGAGAGGGTCCAGAGTTCTCTTTAAAAAACTGTTCCCTTTCTTTAAAAAAGATTAGTTGTCTCCTCTCCTCAGACCATGCTGAAAATAAGTTTTTAAGCCCCATTAAATTCTGTCTAGAGGTTTTTTGTCCAGAGCGTAACCCAAAGTAAAAGGGGAAGCGGCAAACAGTGGGGCCCTGCAGGGCTCGTTGGCAGAAGCAAGGGCTGTCCAGCGAGAGGTTTTGAATTTTTCCAGCACCCCAAGCTTCAGTGACCTCCTGTCCCCAAGTGACTGATTCCAGTGACCAGTGCTGGTGTCTTCTGCCTCAGTCATATAAACATTCTGATTATGGAAATAATACACACATGCTTTTTGTAAAAATTCAGGGCATACAGAGAGAGGGAAAATTTTTTTTAAAAACCTCTTAAACCTGAGCGATAACCAGTGTAAACATTTTCATCCACCATCTTCTGGACACTTCTTTTGTCCTTTGTATATCGCAGACTGGGTCACACCATGGAAACTAGTTTGAAGCCTAATTTCTTTTCCTTACTTGATATACAGTGGGCATGTTTTCATAAATAAGGGCAGTTTTTTGCCACTTTATAATTTTCCCCTTTTGGTTGTAGCACTTACTTATAAATGTTTTGTAGATCATTTGAGTTGATTGCAGTTTTTTGCTGTTAAACAGTCAAGTTGTCCTTGTACATAGTTAGTTCTGACTGTTCACTGATTCTTGAAAGTAAAAATGCTAGCTCAAATGAATGTACAGTTTTGATATGTATTAATGCTTTTTTTAAGACTTATGTGTCATCTGATTTTATCTTTTTCTCAGCTTTGAGGTATAGTTAGTGGGTAGTTGACACAGATAAAGGATACAAATCTCAGAACAGTCAAGCAGACATCCAGGGTCATGCAGCTGCTTCATAGAAGAACCAGGCTTGGGATCCATGCTTGCTGGCTCTTGTGTTTCTGGCAGGATGCCCTTTGGGTTCCTGACCAAGGATCCCTATAACCCCAGCGTCAGCCAGAGCAGTTGGGATCTCAGACTGCTTTAGCCCCCCAGTTCTGTAGCCTGAGGAAATCCAGTATCTTTCCTAGGAATCAGGCTTCATCGTCTCCAGAAGCAAAACCCAGTCCTTTTACTGAATGCTGCCCAAAACCCTTTGTCACCAAAAATTGATGCCATTAGTTTCATGATACTGAGTGTCACAGGGAAGGGTTGCATCTCAGCATACAGCCTTCTTCTGTCCCAGCTCCTTTCTTCCCCTCCCTTTCTTCCCAAATTCTCCCTTTTTGTGCAGAGCAGTTCAGCTCCTACTCCCAGACTTAACATTGGAACTCATCAAGCCCTCGGGAGTTCTGCATATGCGATGAAGAGCTTCCTTTCAAGGGAACCTTTTTCACCTTTCTCCCCCAAAAGCATCTGATTAGTAAACTAACAAAGAAAAACTTTTTTTTTTCTTTAAAAGTGTGTGACCACCATAAAGGCAGTGGTGACCATCACAAGTTTAACCTGCCTTTGCCTATTTCTTTCGTCAGGTGAAGAGCCTTTCTCTTATGGCTATGGAGGCACTGGGAAGAAGTCCACCAATAGCCGGTTTGAAAACTACGGAGACAAGTTTGCAGAGAATGATGTGATTGGCTGCTTTGCGGTGAGTGCTGGCAGCCTGTGGGAGTTTGCAGAATGAAATGTTAGTCCTGTCAGGTGGACCTGCAGTTACCTTTTTCAGAGTACCTCTGTTCACTGCACTATGTCCAGCTGCTGTCACTGTGCCTCTTTGTCTCTTTGACAGACTGGAATGTTTACTGTCATTTTGTGCAAAAATCTACTATTCTACCTTCCTGGTCTCTTGTGTAAATGCATCAGTTGACACCTTGAAGAGGTTTGAGGTTGTCAGGTGTGCACACACTTCCTCCATTCCTAGATATCAGAGTGACATTTTCTAAATAGACCCAGGAATTTCTTATCTTTCTTTGCTACCAAATAGCCTGTCAGTCTGCTCTCGAATTCAGTGCTGTTAGCTCTTGCCTCACTCTGGCAATATCTCATCCCTAAACTTCTCTCTGCGTTCACCTCACATTGGTTTGGACAGGTTTCCTATAGTGCACTGCCTTCTAGGAGTGCGGGGGTGGGTGTAAACCTGAACAAGATAAATGGAGCCCGAGCTGCTGCCAGACTTCAGTCCCCAAGAGCAGTGACCCACACAGTGCTGTATACTGTGGCTGTCAGCTCGGGGGCAGACTCCCTAGGCCCAGTCCTGGCTCTCTACTTTCAGCCGTGGGCAACTTACCCTCCCTGTATTTCAGTCTACGCTAAGTGAGGCTCTTTGCACCTACTTCAGAATTTTGTGTGGGATCATTAGGCTCTTCTGTTAGAAGCACTTAGAATAATGCCTGGCACATGATGTGTACTCAGTAAATCCTACTTGGTACTATTATCATTAGGAGTTAAAGCTGTTTTTAAAATGTACCACAAGACCCTGGCAGGGAGTGGCTACCTGGGGGGATGCTTTCTCCTGATCTTATTCTCTCTCCCTCCTTCAGATTTGCATACATGTACTTTTTTTCTGTGTTTTTTCATTCTTTCTTTGAAATAATTTTAAACTTAAAGCCCTAAGAACTGTCATAGAGCCTTGTTCAGATTCTAACATTTACTTTTAACATTTTCTCAAATATATATGACTATCTGACCTATTTGAGAGTAGGTTGCCTACATCATGTCTTTATTTCTTAATACTTCAGCATGCATTTCCTAACCACAGCACAGTTATTAAATTTAACATTGATATAATGCTATTTTCTACTCCTCAATCCACATTTAAATTTTGTCAGTTGTGCTGACAATATTTTTTGGAGCAATTTTGTTTCTGGTTCAGGATCCAATCCAGGATCACTTAGTGCATTCTCATGTCATGTTTTGTTTTGTTTTGTTTTCTAGTCTGAAACAGTTTCTTGGTCTTCCTTTCTTTCATGACCTCATTGTCTTTTTACTAAAAAACATGTTTTCCTAAAAATTAACCGTGTTCATACTCCCTTCTAAACCTTGAACATTTTCCATTTAACAGTAAATATTAGCTGTCTCTCCCTGTCTGCACAGATGATATAGATATAACTGAGTTAAAAAAACATTTTTGAATAGTTACTAAATTCACATGGTTTGCAAAAACACCAATAAATGTAAAAAGGCGTGCAGCATAACACCTATTTCGGACCTTTCCCTTCCACCCATTGTTCACATATACCTCCCTCCACACATGGACCCACAGATACTCAGGATTTCCTCTTTTACACAAAAGGTAGCATATTTATACTTGTTATTATGCATCTTCTTTTGCTTAACTGTATCTCTTAGAGATCTCTTTATATCACTGCCTAGAGGACTTCTTTGTTCTTTTATATCATCTGTAGTCATTGGATGGGTCAACCATGTCTATATAATCAGCTTTCTATTAGTGGACATTCACTTAGTTTCTTGCCTAGTGGCTGCCTAGGATTCTGATGCAGGTGTCAGTCTATGCTGGCTTGATTCGGCCAGTCTTCTGTTGGTGGACCTGAAAATTATTTGCTCGAGTGACTGATGCTGCAGTGATAGCTTATCATTTTCCCACTTACCAGAGTGTCTTCGAGATCTTTTTTGTGTCCTCACACATGTGGAATTTCCTCTGTTTAAAGGATGCTACAAATTTCTAAAAGGTGACATGTTGGAGGAAGTGTAAAAATCAGTGACGTGCAGAAACCTGGGGCGAGGACCCCTGTGTTAGGTCTTGAGTTTTCAACATTCATAAAAAAAAAAAACAGAACAAAATGGCCTTGCAGGTAGAGAGAACAATATAATCCATTTCAATTATAATATGTGGAGCCCCGGGGATGACACAAGGAGACAAGACATTTGAGGCTGCAAAAATGGCGTGCTCTGAGTAATGCCAGGCCTAGGGACTCTTGAGTTGTTAGGCAGAGTAATAGGACCACACTTGCCTCTTGGACACATGGTCCTGTTGTCATAGATTTGTCAGGTGGTTTATATACAAAATGGTAAGTTCTTGTAGTAAAGCTGGTGGCCATAATGAAGGTTTATCGCCATGATGTTCATTTCCATGTCAGAGCAAAGGTGACCTGGGCCACTTCTGCTCAAGGGAGAAGACCTGGCAGGAATTATGCTGCAGGGATTAAGGAAGGATTCAGTGTGGCAAATGTTTGCATGTCTGCCCTGCATAGTATTAAGCTGTGTGGGCACTTAGAGACCAAGGGCTATAAAGGACTGTCTGGAGCTGCACCCCCTGAACACTGAGGAGGGTGGGGAGGAAGCTCCTTGGGAGAAGGAGCTATCATTATTTCTTAAAGAGCAAGTCCGAAGATGGCTTTCTCATTCGAGAGAAAGAATACCACATCTTGTACTTTTAAATCAGGAACCTGAACTTGCACTTCGCTTTGGTCTGCTATCTAATTCCAGGTTTTGAGCTTAATTGTAAATCTTAACCCTGCACCCAAAGTGACCTTTCTGAAACAGTTTGACCAGGCCACTTCCCTATTCGAAACAAGTCAGGGACTCTTCTCTTTCACCAACCTGAAGTCCTAACTGCTGAGGTGACAGACTCTCATATGCTGAGGGCAGGGGCTATGTCGTCTCCTCACATTTTAGCCCAGCACAGTGCCTGATACCTCGGAGTGGTAGCTCCCATTCATTGTGTGGTCACTGTGGAGTGAACGCACTAATCTGCTTACTCCTCAGAAGGACCCTGTGCGCTATAGAATTTTATGGCCTCCCTTTTTTGATAGTAAATGACAGAGCTAAAGCAGCCTGCCTTCCAAAACAGGATTTTTTTTTTTTTTTAAGATTTTATTTAGCTTTAGAGAGAGGGGAAAGGAGGTGGAGAAACATCAGTGTTCAAGAGATACATCGATCGGTTGCCTCTTGCACACCCCCAACTGGGGACCTGGCCTGCAACCCTTTGGTTCGCAGGCCGGCAGTCAGTCCACTGAGCCACACCAGCCAGAGCCCAAAACATGATCTTAACCACTGAACTTCAGCTGCTCAGTAAGAACTCAAAGGAGTAGTTACTGAATAAATGTATGTGGTCCCTGCCAGGCTCTCCAGCTGTACCTGAAATTAATTCCCCCTCATCCTTTATGCCTCAGCCTGTCTGACCTTGTGTTCTCTTGTTGCCATATTTGTGTACAAACAATACTTCTCTTTAGGACTCTGTCCTCCTGCCCCACACTTAGCTCATTTCATTTTGTTGTTTAGGACCTGACTTACAGGTTCCTTTCCTCCTCCATGAGAGAATCTTGCTCCTTTGTAGGTGCTGTTGCGGAATTCAGATAGTGTCCTTATCTGATTCCCCACTAGGTCCTGACCTCTGTCAGGCCAAAATCACCATAGATATATGTACCAGGAAGAACAGGAGTTCAGGAACATGTGTCAAACAAACGAATGCATTTGTGGATTTGGACTTGACTTAGAAAGCCTTGCTGTGGCTTTCCTTCCATCTGTTATCTTCACAGACTGCCCTTGCTGGGGTTGAGGCTCGACACGATCACCTTTTCCTTCATCTTCCTCTCAGGCTAGGCACAAGGCTCAAATTCTTACACCTCCCTAAAATTACACGATTCACATCCACCAGCCTTTGGATCTTCGGCAAGGAGGGCTTTCGTCTACATATTCTCTGAGTTGCCCATTGTATCTGTATGTTGAGGGGTGGGGTTACAGCTAAATCTGGGAAGCCGGGTATATTTCTGCTCTCTGTATCTGCTCGCTCCACCTTGGGGTTCCCAGTGCCTTCAGCTGAGTGTTGGCTTAAGGTTTTCTTCCTTTGGCTTTTTTCTCCTAGGACTTCGAATGTGGAAATGATGTGGAACTTTCCTTTACCAAGAATGGGAAGTGGATGGGCATTGCTTTCCGAATTCAGAAGGAAGCCTTGGGGGGTCAGGCCCTCTACCCTCATGTTCTGGTGAAGAATTGTGCAGTGGAGTTCAACTTCGGGCAGAGGGCTGAGCCCTACTGTTCTGTCCTTCCTGGCTTTACCTTCATCCAGCACCTTCCACTGAGTGAGCGAATCCGGGGCACTGTTGGACCAAAGACCAAGTCAGAGTGTGAGGTTAGTGGGCTTGAAGGACTGAACTGGTGGCTGCGTCTCCTGGGCCACCTAACTGCCAAGGCAGAGGGGAGACACTTGGTCGCTGGGCGTGGGGAAAGCAGTACCACCTCCCTGTGTGTGCAGCCTTAACGAGAGGGCCCTCCTCTTCCTGGCTCCTTGGGGCTGGCCTGAGTTAAAAGCTGCTGTGAGTATGGCTTAGGCCAAAGAGGGGGAGGGGATAAGGAGAGAGGCCTAAATCTTGGAAGGTTTCCAAAAGGAAGTTGCCACACTGCTCCTTGGGTGAGGTCAGTATCTTGGAATAGGAAGCGTTCCTCCCAGCAGGAAAGGATGTGGAGGTACTTCCTGGTGAGTGTGTTCTTCAAGGAGGTTGTACAGCTTCACACTCTCAAACAAAGCTAAGAACAATGACACCTGGCCTTGAGGATGATTTAGCTGCAGAAGCTGTACTGGTGATCTTTGTTCTCTTTTTATTTTCTGATATATAAGTGATTTTGTGTATGTTCTAGAAAATTAAGAAATACAAAGAAAATTCAAGTTTCCCATTATTCCACCATTTGCAAACAAGTTTACTTTTAAAGCTTTAGATTTTATCCTGTAGCTGTGCTAAGTGCTTGTTTTGTACACAGACACATTATCATTGTGATCTCATGGTGTAAGCATTGGGATATCCAGCCCTTTTCACTTAACATTGTTTTGTGAATACCTATTTTGAGATTCATTTTTTTTTAATTGTCACCCAAGAACGTGCTTATTGATCTTAGAGAGTTGAGAAGGGAGGTGGGGAGAGAGAGGGAGAGAAACATTGACATGAGAGAGAAATATCGATCAGTCGCCTTTCTTCCGTGCCCCAACCCGGGACCAAGCCTGCAAGCCTTTCAGTTTACAGGACAGTGCTCCAACCAAGTTTGCTGTACCACCCAGGGATAAATTCATTTTTCATAGCCTCACAGTCTAACCATTTCCCTCTTCTTGGCATATAGGTTGTATCTAGTGTTCTGCAAATTTTAAGTATACTGATTAGATACAGTGCTTGTCTTTGTATGTAGTTTGTCCCCATTTCAGGTTCTAAGAAAGTTGTGCCCACTCTGTGGGCTGGTTCCGGTGCACAGTCCTCCCTGGGTTTTCTGTCAAAGACCATGGAATCATGCTAAACAAAAATGTAAATACTCATAACAGCCCTTGGTTTTATGCTTGTCCCATGCCAGATCATCTATTGGCAGTTTGATGAGCCTCATCTCTTTGAATCCCAGCAGCAGCACTGGGAGGTAGAAGGTATTGCTTTCATTTCCCAGAGATGGCCATGAGGTTTAGAGGCACCTCGTGGTCACCAACAAGTCAGGGAGGTGCCGGGCTGCCAGGCCACACCCTGCTGCTGCTTCAGTACTCCTCCTTGTTCTGTTCTTACAGATTCTGATGATGGTGGGCCTGCCCGCTGCTGGGAAGACCACATGGGCCATCAAACATGCAGCCTCCAACCCCTCCAAGAAGTACAACATTCTGGGTACCAATGCCATCATGGATAAGATGCGGGTAAGGGCAGTCCCTGGTCTTTCCTTCGCCACCTCCCTTACCCCACCCCATAGTGCTGCCCTATAGCCAGAAACACCCACCCTTCACCACCCCCTGCCCACAGGTGATGGGCCTACGCCGACAGCGGAACTACGCTGGCCGCTGGGATGTCCTGATCCAGCAGGCCACCCAGTGCCTCAATCGCCTCATCCAGATCGCTGCCCGCAAGAAACGCAACTATATCCTAGACCAGGTATTTGCTGATGACCGTCATGCTGCTGGAGAGGGAAGGGGCCTATTGGGTGCCTGGTTATCCCCCCCTTATCCTTTTATTTTTTCACCATAATGCTCTTGGACTGCAGTGCTGGTAAGGGGGTCAGCCATACATGATAGCACAGTCGCAAGCTCTTAGCATAGTTCTCTGAGCCCTTTCGGTGCAGTGGGGTCTGGGGCCGTGATCTGGGCCTAGCTCAGGCCTTCAGCAGCCAACAGGATATCATCAGGTGAGAGCTGTTTAATGAAATGGAAAGGGCATGGATTTCTGAGGTGGGCAGACCTGAGCTCTAATCGCAGCTCTGCTACTTCCTAGCTGCATGCCTGCAGACAGCTGACTTCATCCTTCAAGCCTCAGTCTCTTAGTCTATAAAATGGAGATCAAAATGGTGCCCACATACCTAACATGGGGCCTGGCATATAGGAGCTGGAGATTGTTATTAATTATTCTATACAATAGGTATGTTTCAGTTTCTCTTAGCATGTTTTATGACTGTCAGGTACATATCTAAGGCCTTTTTTTTTTTTTTTTTTTTTGAGATTTTTATGTATTATTTATTTTAGAGAGGGGAAGGGAGAGAAACATTAATGTGTGGTTTCCTCTTGCACACCCCCTACTGGGGACCCAGCCCTCAACCCAGGCATGGGCCCTAGACTGGGAATCGAACCAGCGGTTCTTTGATTCACAGGCCAGCGCTCAGTGCACTGAGCCACACCAGCCAGGGCTTAAGTCATATATTTTGTACCTTTGTTTAAATTCAGAGCAGGGTTGTTCACATCAGATGATCTGGGAACCTTTAAAATTAAACACAATTTTGTATGCAGTTATGTCCTTTTCTGAAAAAATTAGTTTTGAGTTAGGAGAGGAAGATGTTTTGTGGTTTCCAATGTTCTCAAAAGTATAAGTGACCCAAACATAGTTAAGGATCCTTGTCTCAGGGTAATGAGTTCCCTCATGTTTGTTGCTTATGAGACGTCATTCTTGACATGTCCTGAAGGTTTCTCAAGTAGCAGATTCTTTATTTGGGGATCTGTGAACAAAATTCTCTTTCCCTAAGCCTTGCAGTCATGCCTTCTTAAAAACCTGTGAATGTGCACATACGTAAAGTAAGTGCCTTCCATATGTGTAGCCTCAGATATTTGGTTACCAGGAGTTGAAAGGGCCCCTGATGAGGGTGGAGTTAGTGATGGTGGTTGGCTCCACTGAAAGGTGGTTGGAAACTCCAGGGGACCAAGTTGCCTCTGCACGGGAGTGAGCATCTTATACAAAACAACTGAGTGAGAGTGTCGGATCCTGAACACATGGAGATGTGAGAGAGTGGTGGACCCCTTCCCACATAATCTTGCCCTATGCATCTCTTCCATCTGGCTGGTCCTGAGTTACATCTTTCCATATTAAACTGGTAATTGTGTGTTTATAGTTGAAGAAATGATTCTTTATATCCAGCATTTGAAAGGAGTACATAGTAAGAACTTAGTTCTTAAAGACAAAAAGAAAAAGGGTATTGGCTGGTGATAATTCTTGATAGACAAATTAATTTAAATGATCTTCCCAGGCAGTTAGGTGTTGGGAGTGGAAAGCTGCTCTTTGCTGATAAAACAGCCATGCTAGGAAAACTAAGAGTTGGCCAAGGCTGGGCCCTCACCCTGGCCCCTTTTCTGTGTTGGTGGGGATGTGAGATTGGCTCTGGGTTCTGAAACTGTGGGATTAATCCTGGAAGACTCACATTTGTGAAGAAGACAGTACATGATCCCGCATTACTAAATTTTGATGGAAACAACTAATTGGGCTAACGTTTAGAATATTTATTTCCGGGCGGGGGCGGGGTAGAGGAACTGTTGAGCACAGGATAGTCCAAGAGGCACCCAGGATTACTACTCAAGCTTGGCCCCATCAGTAACGCATGTAGTCAGCTTTTTCTCCGTTTGGAGACTTTTTTTTTAACCCTGGCCTTGCTTTGCTCATTCTTGTCAGAGCATTTGGAACTGTAGCCTGACTTGGCACCAGTGGGACTCAGTGCCCTGCAAGGGGCAGCAGTGTTGTCACAGCACCCTGAGAGTTCCCAGGGAGTATTCCCTGCCTGTCATTTTGCCAGTTTGCCGGTTAAATCGGCTGTGAAACCCATTTCAGATATGTGGCTCAGTGGAGAAGGATTGTAGTTCTGGAGGGAGATCATCTTAACATCTCTGTCCAACATTTCAAAGTGGGCCTTCCCTGGAGCTCAGGCATCAGCTCCTCAGCCAGGCACAGTACAGCTGAGCTCTGTAAAGACACACTGTTAGTCTTGGAGCATATGCTCATTTGTTTAGGGATGGGGTCCGGGGCTTTAGCAGCTTTGGTCTTCAGGGCCATGAGCGTCCTCATTGAGGGGTGTGCACGTTGAGCTAAGTGATCCAGGCCAACAGGGAAGCAAAAGTACCTAAACTCTGAAGGTGAGGGAGGAGGGTTCTCTGTTAAACAGAGATTGACTTGGGGCTTTAAATTATAGGTTATTCAGTCCCAGGAAGAGGTCTAAAGCCAGTTAATTTTATCTTTTTTAAGATTTTATTTATTTTTTAGAGAGAGGGGATGGGAGGGGAAGAGATAGGGAGAGAAACATCAGTGTCCACAAGAAACATTGATCAGTTGCCTCTCGCATGCCCCCAGCTGGGAACTTGGCCTGCAACCCAGGCTTGTGCCCTGACTGGGAATTGAACCGGCAGCCTTTCAGTTCGCAAGCCAGCACTCAACCTGCTGAGCCACACCAGCCAGGGCAAAAATGCCCATTCTTGAGCGGGAAGGAGAATGTTGCCTGCAGAAGGCAGGTGAGGCTGTGCGAACCAGGACTGTCCCTATATCTGGTTAGGGCCCCAGCTCGTACCCCAGGATATGTCTCATTGGGCACAAGCTCTTGGTGTGATGGAGCTTCGACCTGCATTCCATGATGATCTAAGTATCCTCTTCAGATCAGGTGGTGTTACAGCTCTGAAACATCCAAGGAAAAAAAGAAGAGATAAACCACAAGGGAAACAGGCCTCATAGAGGAAATGAACCTGTTAAAAGTTACACTGTTGATTTACTAGCAGAACTTGTCTGTGATGACCTTCCAGGTGGCCACGGCTCAGAATGGTAGAGCCATGGTGGGAAATTGGAAAGTGGGAGTCCTGGGCAAAGGAGTTAATTAAGGCTTTGTCCTGTGGGCAGTGGGAAGCAACAGTCATGTTTTGATGAGGGAGGGATATGCAGAGGCTTCTGAGAAGGCCTCTGCAGGGCTATGTGTGAGGGCCCCAAACCACTGCAGAGTTGAGGGCTGCAGGCTAGGAGCTCCCTTTGGGCCTAGCAACCCAGAGCTAAGGCCAGACAGTGATCAGGAGCAGGACTGGGTGTGACATTGTCACCACCCTAGCCTCTGAACATGTGATTCTAGTCCTGCTTTGCATCCCTGTTGACAGGTGCCATGCCTTTGCTTGAAACAAACCCAGGGCCAGAGAGGAAGCCCTAACCACCTCGTACTGGCAGACATTGGGAGAAAGGGGTGTTTATCTCCTCTACCCTCCCTGTTCCCAGGGCCTCAGCCAGTTGCACTGTAACACTACAGCTAGTTCTCTGCCTACACGTGTGTTCCTTCCACTGGGTTCACCTTACAGTGAGCCCAGAGGGAACTTTTATCACCAGCTTTTAAGTTTGCTGCTCTAGGATCCATCCACGTTTCTCCCACTGACCCCATTGAGCTATGGAGGGGTGTGGGGGGTGGAAATGGAATAAGTGAGATGGGAATGGAACAGTGGAACTCCTATAAATCTGAGCTGTGAGCAGTCTGCTGTGTTCCTCCCTTACTCCCCCAGGCTGTCACAGCAACACTACCCATACATTTCCTCTGAGAAACCTGACTCCTGTCCTTTAGCCCACATTCCTAGAGATTGGGGGTGGCTGGGGATCAGGGGACACAGCCCCAGCAGACCTTCTTAGAGCCAGTGTCTTCACACAGGGTGGGACTGGGAGAAACAGGAGCTAGGCAGAGGGAGCTCACACAGCTGGAAAAGCTGATCTAGCTGTTGTGCTGGTCTCTTAGCAACAGACACTAGCAGCCCCCAGTGACCACAGCAGTCCCGGGCCAACCCAGGGTCTCTGACCTCACTGTTTGCTGTGGCAACAGCCACCAGCAGCTAACTCCCTTTCCTCCAGGAAAGGCAAGTATTTGTGTTTCTGCTGGTGTGGTTTAGACACCCTTCTTGCCCTCCCCAAGCCAGGGAGTACGGGGAGGGAGGCGCTGTCTTGGAAACTGTCACCAAGAGGGTTTTCCACACCTCAGCTCCAGAGTGTCTGACAAGGCGTCCCTCAGAGTCTAGCCACCTCCCGGGACAGAGGCCAGCTCTTTATGAGTCCCGTCTACTCTGCCCTGTTCTCCCATCCCGTGAGGTTGCAGAGACTAGCCCTCTGGGCAGTGTTGTTTCTCTTCCCTGTCCCCTCATCAGGACATTGACAGAGCAGGTCTGCCCCATAGAAACAATCCAGGAGTTGTTTAGCTCTGTCCTTGGGTTCAAAGGAATCAAAATAGGGTCACCTCTTATGGGCAAATGAACTGTGGAATCGGTGGTTTGCAGAATGGTCTGGGGCCACATTCTTTTTGGCACCCAGCAACTCTGGCTTTTGTGTCAGAAGAAAATATTATTTAGCTGGAGGAACCTAAATTATATCTTCCTATGACCAGATGCCACCTTCTGCTCTGCTTTTGGGAATAGAGCCCAGGGAGAGCAGTAGGGAGAAGACTGGACTTTTGCCCTGTAACCTGGTGTACTTTTTAACCATATGGGCCAGTGCTCAAAGTCCAGATCACACAGCATTTGTGTGCCCTCCATGAACATCCTCTCACTCCCCCTTCATGAAGGTTAAGACACTTTCCCTGGGGAATCAGGAAGAACGTCTTTGCCTGGTGTGTGTGTCAGGGCCATGGAGATACCAGTTTAGAGACATAGTTCCTAACCTTTTTGGCACCAGGGACTGGTTTTATGGTAGACAGCTTTTTCATGTACCTGGGTCTGCAGGGATGGTTTCAGGATGATTTGCACTTACTTCCTGCTGTGCGGCCTGGTTCCTGACAGTCCTGGACTGGTCCCAGTCCATGGCCCAGAGTTTGGGGGCCCCTGGTTTAAAGGACAGCTGTGCCCACAGCCAAGATCACCCAACAGGTGTGCACTGGGGTCCCTGGCCTCTGGCCGACCCACAACTGAGCCCTGTTCTTTTTGTCTTAGAAGAGAGGCTCTTGTGCCTCATCTTTTCCTCAAACTTAACTTTGCTTGATCCTCTCCTAGGACAGTATCAGTTTTGTTGGCCATATTTCCAGATCCACCCTGTATGTGTTAACTTTTTTCCCTCCAACATGCCAGGCATTTTCACATGTGCAAATCCTCACCAGAGCTAGGAGGAAAATGACATGATCCCTGTCTTTCAGATGAAGAAATTTGAGACTCAGGCTAATTAGGTGACTTGTCTACAGTCTCAGAAATAGTAAAGGGCACAGCTGGGCTTTCAGGTCTGAGCCGCTTCACCAAAACCTGTGTTCTTTCTACCCTGTCTCGCTGTTCCTGCCTTTCTGACGGTAAGACAGTATAGCCTGACCTTGCCTCTGTCTGGGTTGCTTCATGAACACTACAGTAGGAATATTAGCGGTACCCCACCCAGTGAAGGCCATTTCAGTGGTGGCTCCTTTTTGTTGAGTGTTGGCTGTGAGCCAGGCCCTGGGCTAACCAGGGGCTTTTTACTCATGAACTCTTTCAGTCTTAATAGCAACCATATGGCATTTCTGTTGTTGTCCCTGTCCAGGGCTTGCAACTAAGTAAATATGTAGTAAGTTGACTACAGATGAGGAGGCTGAGGCCTTGAGTGGAAGTCAATCACCCCAGGCACCATGGGTGTGACGTGGCCAAATCAGGTTAGAACCAGGATGTGCCGCGCCCCCCCCCCCTGCCCTCCCCGAAGGCCTACCTTTGTCAAGGTGGCTTCTGCTCAAGGCCACCTCATAGTCCCCACTCAAGGAGTCCTCATGCTGGGTGATGCTTTGCAGTCTTCCTGCTTAGTCTTCACCAGTCCAGGAGGGAGGCTTTTTGTCCCCTTTTTACAGGTGAAGCAACTGCAGGGACTGGCCAGAGTGAGTTTATAATCACACTGAGACTTTATCCTGGGCTTTTTTCACTCTGCCAGGCTGCATCTTCAAAATATACCATTTTTTATTGTTCACTTGCTTACTCCCCTTTACAAACTGTTTTTCCCCTTCTGTGGCTTCTCTCTTGAGTCCCTATCAGGCCACTAAAAGTTGTTTAAATGCATGTATTCCCAAAGGGCCTAGCATATAGGAGGTATTCAGTAAGTGGAAGTTGTTGTTACTACTGCTCTTGATCAGATGTGTCCTAGAGTGCTGCTCTGTGCCAGCACCAGCCCAGTATGCATCTACCCATCACCTAGAGGAAGGGAGGACGATGTTCATAGCAAAACTGCATTTGTGCCCTGGCTGGTGTGGTTCAGTGGATTGAGCGCCATCCTGTGAACTGAAAGGTTGCTGGTTCAATTCCTAGTCAGGGCACATGACTTGGTTTTGGGCCAGGTCCCTGGTTGAAGGCGTGCGAAAGGCAGCCAACTGATATCTCTCTCACACATCGATGTTACTCTCCCTTTGTTTCTCCCTCCCTTCCCCTCTCTGAAAATAAATGAATAAAATCTTTTAAAAAGCAAACAAAAACAAAAAACAAACTGCACTTGTAAAATCAGGGGCTCTTGTCTTGTCAAACCTCCTGGTTAGAAACTTGTGAGTGAAGGTGATGTTTCAGAGAAAGGACTGAGGGAATAAAAGAATCAGTGTTGAGGAAAACAATCTACACCACTGTTGGAGGGGGCTGGTTAATTATGATACCCATTCCATAAATATTGTGCATCCATTAAAAGAACACTGGCACAGAAAAATGTCAGAAGTGTTAAGTGAAAAAAGGCTTCAGAAAAGTATGATTCTGTGTTAAAAATAACACAGATGTTTTTAGAAGGACATAAATTTAATACAGTTCATTCCTGGAGAGTAAGACTGGAAGTAGGTAGATGAAGATACTCTAAAGCTTTGTACTCTGAATATTTTGCGATGAGCATGTACGGGCATTCCTTGGAGATACTGCGGGTTCAGTCCCAGACTGCTGCAGTAAAGCGAGTCGTGATACTTTTGCCGGTGGAGGATCTTTCCTTCAATTTGTAAAACACACACATCTGTGAAACTAAATAAAACAAGGCCTGTATTACTTTTGGGGGGTGGAGCAGATTGTAAAGTACAGTACTAAGAACAAGAGGATTAAAGCATAAACCCCAACCATTGAAATCCCTGTGACTGTCGCTTTCCCAAGTCAATTCATTTTCTGAGGTTGAACTCAAAAATCTTAAAAGCGAAGGTCAGTTTCCTGGGTTTCTCTGCTTAAAAGAACTAGTGCCCTTTTCTTAGTCCTTGGCCTACGTAATGCCTCATAGATGAGAAAACCATCCTGTAATGTACTGTCTCTTGCCTCTTCTGTTACCTATCCCTAGACAAATGTTTATGGGTCAGCTCAGAGACGAAAAATGAGACCATTTGAAGGCTTCCAGCGCAAAGCTATTGTCATTTGTCCCACTGATGAGGACCTAAAAGACAGAACAATAAAGCGAACCGACGAGGAAGGCAAAGATGTCCCAGATCATGCAGTCTTGGAAATGAAAGGTAGGAGACAAGCATTTCCCAGAGGAACACCTCAATGGGGTCCTTGAAGAAAAGCTCCTTACATAGTTTTCCCCACCTCCTCCTTGGTTGGTTTTGTTTGTTTGTTTGTTTGTTTGTTTGTTTGTTTCTACTTTTGTCTCTTCCCTGTCTAGTACAGCTGTGAATGGAAAAGTTGCCCATATCTTTGGTATGACAAGGTTTTCAGATTAGATGGGGCTGGGGCGAGACGAGGGAGGGAATGTGTGGGAGCAGTGCCAGAGGCCTGTATGGATATCCGCCTCCGGCACCCCCTGGGTGGATGTGAGCAAGCTTCAGTTTGCTTCCCAGATTCCACCTGCCTGGCCTCCCTGGGGTGAGGTTGGAGAGAGCATTTATCAGCACTGGTTTGGTGCAGCTTAGCTACCTCTTCAAGAAAGGGAGAGAGGTCTTTGTTAGCCACCAGCCATTGTCAGAGAGGCTGAGGTTGGGATCCGGTGTCACCTGTCTTGCTCAGTACTCCAGTATCCTGGTTGTGGAGAGCATCACACCTCAAAAGGTACTGACCTACTTGTTCCTTCTGGGACCCTCCCTTCCTCCTAGCCAACTTCACATTGCCAGACGTTGGGGACTTCCTAGATGAGGTGCTGTTCATTGAGCTGCAGCGGGAGGAAGCAGACAAGCTGGTGAGGCAATACAATGAGGAGGGTCGCAAGGCCGGGCCACCCCCTGAAAAGCGCTTTGACAACCGAGGCGGCGGTGGCTTCCGGGGCCGTGGCGGTGGTGGCGGTTTCCAGCGCTACGACAACCGAGGTCCCCCTGGGGGCAACCGAGGAGGCTTCCAGAACCGAGGAGGAGGCAGTGGTGGAGGAAGCAACTACCGAGGAGGTGAGCTTTCTGCACTTCTGGTTCCTGGGTCAGAGTTGGGCTTTGGGACGACTTACCCAGTCAGTAGGTTACGGTTCCCCAGCACCGGCCCTGGGCTGAACTTCAGGAGAGAACCAGGATGAGTCAGACTCTGTGGCCTCAGGGAGATGTTCCCACTGTCCTGCTCCCCCTGGGTGCCTGCATGTTTGTATATCTCATTGCCATCATTTTTTTAAGTCCTCCCCCTCTGGCCCTGAGCTCCTTGAGAAGAGGGGACAGACTAAGTTTACTGGCAGTCCTGGGTCTCAGCTCGGAACCTGGTTTAAGACAAATGTTAGGACTGCTTTTGGTTTTTCATTTTAAAACAAATGTAGAAAGGTGCTTAGGGAGGTTAATTTGCTCAGCTAAATCTAGAGTTGGGATCAAGTGACCCAGAGCCCAAGTTCTTGGTCATCAAGCTCTGCTGTCTCTGCAATAAAGTATATAGTCATAATTTAACAGGCATGCCCTACCATGTTTCAGTCTTGAACTGGATCATTCAGGGACACAGTCATGACGTAGACAGACATATCACCCTATAGTGACAGTCTAGAACGTTTCTGGGCTTAATAAGAAAGCCCAAGGGGTCTGAGCTAGTCAGTGGGGGAGCCAGGCTCAAGAAAGTTCTCCTGAGATGCTGATGTCTGAGCTAAGGTCCAGAGGTCAGTAGGAGTTGGAAGAGGGAAGGGTCTCAGGCTCAAGAAACACTTGCACGAGGGCCCGGGAGAGACCGGCCCATTGGGACACGTCTGTTGAGGACTGTCTTCTGTGCTTGGCAGCCTCTCTCCAGAACACCTCTTCCAGTTTATTGCACAGTTATCGAGATGCTGGGGACACAGTAGAAACCAAGACAAACCTTCAGCTGACATTGATGACTGAGCGTTATCAAGACCACATGGGGGAGTGCACCCAGGGGTCTGGGGGGATTCCCCCAGGGGGTCCTTTGGTTGCTTACTTGACTGAGCTCCTGCTCTTTGCCTGGCCACACTGGGGCTGCAGCAGTCACCAAGTCAACCCAGCTCCTGAGGGTCCCAACTCGAGAATGACAGGCCTTTTCACCTGGTTTCTCCAACACAGGTTTCAACCGTAGCGGAGGTGGTGGCTACAACCAGAACCGCTGGGGTAACAATAGCCGGGATAACAACAACTCCAACAACCGAGGCAGCTACAACCGAGCTCCCCAGCAGCAACCACCCCCTCAGCAGCCGCCGCCGCCACAGCCGCCGCCACAGCAGCCACCGCCGCCACCCAGCTACAGCCCTGCTCGGAACCCACCAGGGGCCGGCAGCTACAGCAAGAACAGCAACATGCCTGGCTCGAGTGCCAGTACCAGCACCCCCACTGTCAGCAGCTACAGCCCTCCACAGGTGAGAGGAGGTGGGACCAGGGAAATCACCAGCACCTGCTTTAGCCCATGTCCGCTCCTGCCTCCAACTCTGTCCGTCTTTCTCCAAGACAGTGCTTTTGACAAGGATGTTCCCTAGCCACCTCCAGCAAGTACATTTCTCTTGGCGTTGTCACTGGTTCACACTTAGTTGGAGTAGCCCCTTGCCCAGGCTGGAATGGGCTGATCCCCTGGTCTTCAGGATGTGGAGACAGGCCCAAAGGTTAGGGAGGCTTGCCCTCTGCTTGAAGGCCTTCGTGTGGAGCAGCTGCAGACAGGCCGTTGTCAACCAGAGCAGTCTCCTTTTATTGCGCAGCCATTTCCAGAATACCTTTAATATTCCAGGCCTGGGAACAGCTGCCAGGAGACAGATGAATAGTTCTGCAGTCCTGATCTAACCAGAATATTTCCTAGAACAGGAGTTAAGCAGGCACAAATTCAAACCCCAGACCTAAAACATTCTGGTTTTGTGACCTTGGACAGACAGCTTCACCTCTCAGGACTTCATTTTTCTCATAAAGGCCTACCATTGTTAATAGAACTGACATCCAAGGTTTGCTGCGAGAGGTGGGTGGTGTCGTCATAGCTTCACGAGGAAGGTTGTGGAACTAGGCAAACCTAGGGGTCACGTCCTGGTCCTGCTAATTTTTAGCTATGTGACTTGGGCCCAGTCAGTGATTTCACTTATTCAGCTTCCTTTTCAGTAAAACGAGACTACTGGGACCACCTCTCAGCGCTGGTAGGGGGATTGGCTGAGTTGATGATACAACCTGCACGTGGGAAACACTTAAGAAATAGCTACTACTATTTTTCTCATCAGCTCTTCCTTTAACAACTGCCACAGTTACTGAGTACCCAGTGGTTCATGCACACAAACTTGAATACACGAGTCTCTTGAAAGGTAGTTATTTTTTTATTTCATTTTAAGGCAGGGGGCGGAAAACCAGGCTTTCAAGAGATGCCTGTGCCTTTTTCCCCCAGGATCTCAGATTAGAGTCCAGAACACAGACCTGCATCCTGTCCTGCCTGTCCTGCCATGTGGCTAACCCACCTCCCCCTCAGTCTTCTGCCTCCACCAGGGAAGTTTCTTTGTGGGCCCATTGCTTACAAAGGCCCTTCCTTCATCTCAGCTGAGCTGGCCATTTCAGAGCCCTGGTTTTTTCCCTGCTTTCTAGCCGAGTTACAGCCAGCCACCCTACAACCAGGGAGGTTACAGCCAGGGCTATACAGCCCCACCACCTCCACCTCCACCACCACCTGCCTACAACTATGGGAGCTACGGCGCCTACACCCCAGCTCCATATACCCCGCCGCCGCCCCCAGCCGCACAGACCTACCCTCAGCCCAGCTATAACCAGTATCAGCAGGTAAGTGCCAGGCAAGGGCAGAGGACGGGATGGCTGGAGGCAGGGGAATGGAGAGACTTTCAGGGACCCCTTGTGGATGTGTATTCCCAGCCTTGAGTCCCTGATTGTCCAAAGAAGATGGGCAGCCAGCAAGTGTCCATCTGATGTAGCCAGTTCACGTGGCAACCACTTCTGCTCTAGCTGCTAAACAGCTGGTATCCGAGCTCCTCTCCCCAGTACAGCAAGGCCTCCAGGTCCTGCCTCAGCACCACGGCCATGTCCGTTCTGATGGGTTGGTGCTGTGGTTAAGTATTTTGAATGCAGAGTTTACCTATGCCTGAAAGGGCTTTAGGCTGGCAAGCAGGGAGACCTGGGCCTCAGTCCTTCAGTTCCCGCTGACCAGACCAGTATCCATCTAGTCAGTCATTTGTTCTCCCTAGGTGCCTTGATTTCTCTGTCAGGGGACCCGTCTGTCAGCTATTGTCACTGCACCCATCTGTACCATGGGTGAGAGTAGGGGGAGGGGAGGAGCCAAATATAGGTCTGGATGAGAGACAACTTGGTACTTTCTGTTTCTCCTCAGTATGCTCAGCAGTGGAACCAGTACTATCAGAACCAGGGCCAGTGGCCACCATACTACGGGAACTACGACTACGGGAGCTACACCGGGAACACACAGGGGGGCACGAGCACGCAGTAGCAGTGTGACCCGGAGGCCCCTGCCGGCTTCCTCCACCAGCGCCCACCTCGGTCCCTTGTCTGCCCCACAGAGTCCTGTGGTGCTGGGGGACAGGTCATCCCAGGGCTGCCTCCCTCTAGCCCGTGCCTCCCTTCTGAGGGACCTCTTCCCCTATAGGGCTGGGCATTTTTCTCTTGATTCAAACAGGCAACAGTGACCTTTTATTTTTTCTTCCTCTCCCCACCTCCTCCCTCTTCCTCCTCTTTTTCCCTTCCTCCTTTTTGACTAAAGACACCCCTCCCCTCCCTTGGTCATACAGTGAGGCTGCAGTGACTGAGGACGACCCCTTGCTGTCCGCTGTCCCAGCCCTCCTCCAGCCCCTCAGCTTCCCAGACCCTCATGCAGTTGGTTGTAAATTCTTCCAGGAGCTGTTTTACTGTCTACTTTTCAGGATTAAAACAAAAAAATCAAAAACTTAAAAAAAAAAATTTAAAAAGCAAGCGTGGAGGGAGGAAGCAGTGACATATTTTTTTGGTAATTATGCTTTTTTTAATTTTTAGAATTTGTCTGTTTTTACTGTGGGTCGGCTGTTGATATTTCATCAGGATAACCATTTCTTTGCTGAGTTCAGGCAACCAACAAAGAGCCACACCCTCAAAACAAAACCACAAAATCATCTTTAACCTAACTTTTTATACGATGTCTCAGTTTCCCTTACATAACTTTGCACACAAGCTTCTGTGTTGAGTTGAATTGTAACTGCTTTTTGTATTTGGAGAGAGTGTGACTATTGAACTTGAAACCTTTTATTCCAGGCGTCTTGGTAGTTTCTGGTGGGAGTAAGCGAGCGAGAGGGAAGAAGGGGAGGCGGGGGGAGGGGGCTCCTTCCCTTTAGAATATGAAATTTTTCCCACTGCCTCCTCCCCAGAAATCTCCCAGGTGCCAGACCTAAATGTTTTTCCTACAGTGATCCTCTTGATTATTTTTACTTCCCCTTGACCCATATGTTTTAACAGGATTTTAACAAACTGCACTTATTAAGAAATGTGTTTGCCCTGTTTTGTTTTGTTTTCTTTCAATAAATGACATGGCACCTCCCAGCAAGAAGGAAGAAGGGTTGAAACACTGAACTGTTACTGCAGTTGGCCTTTAATTGGGGTGGGGGTCTTATGAAGGGGACGACATTTACTCATTCATTAAACTCTTATTGAGGGATTCATGTAACCTGGCCCTGTGTTTGGTGCTGGGGATGCCCCCATAAACTGGGGGCTCAGTTTAAAACCCACCAGTTTATTTTTGAAGTGGTCCTCTTATCTCTGCCCTTTCTAGTCCACTCACAGGCCCAAATCTCTAGGAACTTGTGTAGAAGGCAGAGAGCCAGGTTCTGAGGTGCAAAGGGTGAGGTAAGGCTAGTGGGATGGACAGTGAGGCTGGGCTCTTGGGGATCATTGCTGGGTGTGGCTGCTTACCCACCTCAAGCCTGGCCTGTGCTGGACTTGAGATTGTTCTGCCTGCGCATCTGGGTCCAGTCTAGTGGCGATTCCAGAAGCCTCTTTATCCAGCCAATACGTTAGGTACTTCCTCGGTTCCTTACCTTGTCTGGATGGTGCTGGGGTACACAGCATGGCCACGGTAGTCCTGGACCCAGGGCTTCCAGCCCAGAAGTAGCACACCTGTCATCACATGCTGACAGCACCAAGCCTGGGATGGGGGTGGTGTGAAGTGAGTACTTCCGGGGGGAGGGGCAGGAGGGAGGGAATGGGAGAAAAACGCTGATACAAGAGGGAAACACTGTTTGCCTCCTATACGTGCCCCAACTGGAAACCCAACCCACGACCCAGGCGTGTGCCTTGACCAGAAGCAAACTGGCAACGTTTTGCTTTGCAGGACCACACCTACCACACCAGTGGAGCAAGAAGGGAAAATATTTTAAAATAGGGAGTAAGCCAGGGTAAAGGACATTCTGATCGCATTCCCACGTTCTGTCCTCCAGCTACTTGAGTCGTTTCTTCATTCCTTCTGGACATCGTGTGTTCCTGGCCCCTTGTGAGGGGACAGTCCTGGAGGCACAGGAGTGGCCAGTTCAGCCCCATCATTCCCCACAAGTATCTCAGCCTTGTGAAAGGGACACAGGTCACCAAACCAAAAAAAAAAAAAGAAAGGCTGACTTGTTTTCAAGGTTAAGGTGGGCTATCTGAAGGTAAGAAGCCAAGATGGGTGGCTAGCAGGACTAAAGAACACTCGAGTAAGTGCCGCCTCTCCCTGCTCAGGGAGCGCTTCCAGTCTGGGAAGTCCCTTTACCGGCTCTGGTCCATGTGTTGGGCAACCGCCCCCTCTGCTGGCTGCCTGGTGACATCTGAATGCAGTCCCCCACCTAACCTGTGCAGCCAACACTCTGGGAATGCAAACTGCTCCTGCCAAGTGTCTGCATTACTGCACCAGCCTCCTCACAGACCTCCCTTGCCACAAATCTCTTACCCTGATAGCCCTCTGCCCCTTCCCTGCAGGGTATAGAGGAGCTCGAGCTACTTTATATGGCTTATGGGGCCCCATGTTTGGCCCCTGATGACCTCACTGGCTTCATTTTTTGTTGCTCCCCCTTTAAAGTCCAGATCAGTGGTTCCTTCTGGGGAGTCACAAATCCCTTGAATAATACAAATGTTGTGAGCCAAATCTGCATGTTTGTGGAATTTTGCATAAAGATTCACGAGGTTCTCAATCGTGTGCATCCCAATCAAGACCTTCAATTAGAACTCTTACCCCAGGCCACATGAAGTCCTTGCAGCAACCTGAACTATTCATGCATGTCTTCCCCTCTGGGTCTTTGCCTGGCCCATCCCCCTACATGAGACCGTTCCTTACCTTCCTGTCTCGTCCTAATTCACCTTTCAGGTCTCAGCTTGGGCATCTTGCCCTCCCAAAACAACACTTCCCTGGCCCCCCAGAATGGGGTAGTCATTCTCTTAGCCCCTTCGGTCCATCAGAGCCCCGACACTCAGGTAGTCAGTCACTGGCAACATATCGGTCTACTGTGGTAACACACCTATGAATCCGTACCTAAGGAAATCAGTTTTCTAAGGCCACGGTTTTCTTCCTCCACATCTGCTAGTTGTCCTGGTCCTCACCACCTATCTCATGCTAGCCAGGGACTGGATGTGATGACAGAGTAAAGACAAAAGATAGTAAATATTCCTTGAAGTGGTGAAGAAATAAGTGGATAGACTGGGATCTAAACTAGAGCACAAACCTTTTGAGTCCCAGAAGGGTTTCTCATTCAACCAAAAATTCATCCCCCCTAAAAGTAAGCGTGCCATGCTCTGGAGTTCCAGCAGGGAACAGGTTGAGCAATGGTTCGTCTCCCTCCTGATACTCCAATTTCGCAGAGTGAAGGTTGGGGGTAGGGGATACGAAACGAAAGGGCTTCTCTGACCGCGCGCCCTTTATCTTCTCGGCTGCGGAACGAGGCACGCATGCGCACGGGAAGGTCCGCCTTTGGTCCGGAACTTTGGTTCTGGGAGCCGCGGAACATCCGGACCCGGTAGTGTGCTCAACCGGAAGTGGCCGCTGATGACCTAGGACTGACTATTGTCTGCTGAGAATACCGCGGCGGTTAAATAAGCGTAAAAAATCAGGATGGAGGCTGTGGCGACTGCGGCGACTGCGGCGACTGCGGCGGCGACTAGGGAACCCGATGAAGGTGAGGTCCAGGCGACTCGGAGGTGGCAGGAGGGTGGGGTTGCGGTGCTTTTGAGAAATAATTCCCAGAGCGCGAAGGAGGACTCTTTATAGGGGTACACCTGCCCTCCGGCTTACCTTTTTCACCACTTTGTCCAGATTAACCCTCTCGTTGCGGGCTTATCTCCTTTACTCCATCCCCTTCCCCGAAATTAACCTGTTCCACGTTCCCGACCAGGCTTTTCAGTGTCCCAGTCTAAACCCCAGTCCTTTCCAGGCTATTTCTCGGATTAACGTAAACCTCTCTCTCGACTCGGGTTTACTCTACCATTGTCTCAGCCAGCCCTGCTTCTCAAGTAACCTTAGATTTGTCAAACTGACCCTTCCCTTTCCCCAGACTAACCCTTCTGACCCATGCAAACGCTACTTGTCCCAGACTAATGGCGTCCCCATTTCATTCCACTTCCTCGTCCCCCAAAGTTCACAGTCCCATCTGCCACGTCAGGGTCCTTAATCTATTTCGATGCTCTCCCATTCTCTCTCCTTTGCATTTTTAGTCCCTTATTTCACCTAATGTCTTCCCATGTGTGTCTAAAATGCTTTTGTTTCACTCATTTTAAAATTCCATCCTGCTGGAATAATCTCATAGAATAATCTCATGTAAACTGTGATTGGCAGGCTGAAACATGACTGGCCAAAAATTGGTCATTGTTGAAGCTGAATGATAGGATGAAGAGTTGTGCTCTCTATTTTTGTGCATGTTTGAAATTTTACATAATTAAGAAAAATCTTTTAACCTAAAAAGAAAAATCTATCCCTTGATCCCATGCTCCCTTCCAGAAACCATCTATCTTTTCCAAAGAGTCATCCGTACTTGCTTCCATTTCCTCACCTCCCACTCACTGCAGTCTGGCTCTTACCTTCTGAAACTGCCCTGGTTAGGGTGCCTAGTGGTGTCCCTGTGTCACTCCATTCAGTTTTTTTCTTATTAGAAGACATGGAGAATTCAATTCAGCTGACCCTTTCATCCTTCTTTAATATTTTTTGTTTGTTTATTTAAAGATTTTATTTATCTTTAGAGAGAGGGGAAGGGAGGAAGAAAGAGGGAGAAAAACATCAATGTGCCAGAGATACATCAATCAGTTGCCCCTTGCACACCTGCGACCCAGGCATGTGCCCTGACCAGAAATCCAACTGGTGACCTTTTGGTTCACAGGCCAGCACTCAGGCCACTGAGCCACATTAGCCAGGGCACATGCACTGGAAACTTTAATGTTTTCCCTTAGTTTTTCTGACACTCCTCTTTCCAATTTTTTTCTTATGAAGCTCAACCTCCATTAGTTTGTTATGGCTCTTGTAGTAAATTATGACAAACTAGGTGATTAAAACAACAGAAATTTATTCTCTTGCAGTTTTGGAGGCTGTAAGTCTGAAATCAGTATCACTGGGCTGATACCTAGGTGTCAGCAAGACCATAGAGGGCAGAACCCATTTCTTGCCTCTTCCACTTTCTGGCAGCTCCTGGCATTCCTTGGATTGTGGCCACATCACTCCAATCTCTGCTTCCATCTATCTTCACATTGGGTCAAATCTTGGGCCCTCTCCTATGGGGCATTTGTGATGGCATTTAGGACCCACCTGGATGGTGCAAAATAATCTCCCTATCTCAGGATGCTTACCTTAATCACACTTGTAAAGACCCTTTTGTTGTTGTTATTGGCTATGTAAGGTTACATTCACAGGTTCGAAGAACTAAGACATGACTATCTTTTAGCTTTTCACAGGCATATTGTCTCCCCATCGAGTCAGGGCTCTTTCCTAGCCCCTTTTCTCATCCCTCACACACGCTCCCTCCCTCTCCATTCTTATTTCCTTCAGCTTTAATTGTTGTATTGGTTTTATAACTCTCACAACTCTGTCGCTAGCCCAGTGCTTCTCACCTGAGAAGTCTGTAGTCCCATGTACCAACAGCCTCCTAGAGGCCTCCCCTTGGGTGTCCCCTGGTCCCATGATACAGTCCGTGTCCAAACCTGGCCTCAGCATCTTCTCTCAAACCTGCTCCTCATCCATATATCTGTCTCAGGCACAGCTTGACTAGTCCAGGATCCAGAGACCCCAATCTTAACTGGATGTCTCCCTCACCTCCCAGTCCTTCAGCCCCAGGGCTTATCTTCTTGGCCTCACAGGCATCTTTCTGACCACCACCCATCCTGTCCCCTTCTCCACAGGCCCTTGCCCGGTCCAGCTCACTCTTCTCTTCCCAGTGAGTAAAACCCTCCCTGAAACCCATGTACCTGTAACCCTCATCGCCTTGCTCTTCCCCATGCCAGCCAAGCTACCTAAAGGAGTTGTCTATGCTTTTAGTCTTCACTTAGCTCCTGCTTGCTGCAGCCTAGCTCCTGTTCCCACCACTTTCAAGAAGCAGCTTTCACCAAGGTTTGCCTAGTGCTCAGCTTTCCTCTTTCCAGTGCCTGCACTGTCTTTGAGCTTGCCTGTTTCCCCCATCAGCTGGGTGCTTCCCGAGGGCAGGATCGGGATTGGATTCCTCCTGGGACTGCTCGGCATTACCCAGCTCAGGGCCTTAAATAGATCGAGTTCCTGAAGAGCTGTTGGATGAATTGTAAAGGAGTAGGAGAGAACAAATAAATGAGTGAGTGAACAGGTTAGTGAAATGTATTCCTGAACAACAGAAAAGGCAAAGAATTGAGTGAATCAATGAATTGAGGTGGTGCAGGACCAAGCAACCACATCAAACGCACTCCTGCCTCAGGGCCTTTGCACTGGCTATTCCCACTGCCTGGACTCTCATGCCCCAGAAATCTCATGGCTTAGTCCCTCACCACCTCACATCTCTGCTGAAATGCCACTTTTTTGGCAAGCTTTCTCTCTCAAAATTGCAGCCTCTCTCCCCATTCCCCCCTCCTTCTGTCTGTATTTTTTGCATAGCTCCTAGAACCACCAGACACACTGTTCTCTAACACGCAATATGTTTTTAGTAATTATGTTTTTAATTTTCTGTGTCTCCCACTAAAATGTGAACTTCTTGTTTACTGAGGGCCTAACACAGTGCCCAGATTATAGTAGGTGCTCAATAAACATGAACTGAGTGAGGGACTGAGCACCCACTCCCTCTTCCCCCACTCCCATCCCTGGTTTAAGAAATCTCCCCTTTCCCCACAGGCTGCACGGGGCCCAGTCCTGGGCACTGGGGAGAGCTGAGCTGGATGCCAGCTCCATCCAGACCCCTGGACAAGGAGAAGGCAGTGGAGGGAGTGCCAAGGGCCCTGGACGATGACCCCCCTGGGGCTGAGAACACAGCAGTGAGTGCTATGCTGCGTGCCGTGGCTGCCAGCCGCCTGCCCGTATGCAGCCAGCAGCAGGGAGAACCCGACCTGACTGAGCAGGAGAAGGTGGCCATCTTGGGCCAGCTGTACCACGAGAAGCCGCTGGTGTTCCTGGAGCGTTTCCGCACGGGCCTCCGCGAGGAACACCTGACCTGCTTTGACCATTTGCGCGGTGACCATCGTGCAGACTTCTATTGTGCCGAGGTGGCCCGGCAGGGCACGGCCCGACCCCGCACGCTGCGCACCCGCCTGCGTAACCGGCGCTACGCTGCCCTACGTGAGCTCATCCAAGGTGTGAGGGCAGGTGGGCTGGATGGGAAGGGAAACTGAGGCAGAGCAAATAAGAAGGATGCAAGAGCAGAAACCCAGACAGAGATCCTGGGAGGTACATGTTGAGGCTGGGACACAGGGAGAGACTGATAAAAATGTGAAGTGATGGGATGAGGTAGGCAGACTAGACAAATAGGGATCCCGGGGAAGAGAGGAAATGACAGAAATTCCTTTTCACATCCCTGGGCCGAGGACACAGTACCTAGCACTGTGGTAACTGGCTACCTCTCAAGGACGCTTAGATCCCTCCCTCACACTGGACACAAAGGCATTGCTGGAAACCCAGGGGAGTGTGTTTATGACCCTGGGGCCACAAAGGCCCTCTCGAACAATGCACACGTGTGAAAAGCATGAAGGAAAACAGTACATTTGACCACTACATGACAAGAGTTTCTGGGACCAAAGACACGAGAACTAAAGGTAAAAGATGAGAGCAAATGAAGCAGAGAGTGCGTAGTTTCTAGCGAGGGAGGCAGCACAGGCTGAGGGAAATGGAAGGAATGGGGCACAGCGACAGATGAGGAACAAAATGAAAGCAGGAGAGAGAATGAGTAAGGGGGAGTTGGGTGGCAGAACCTGAGGTCAGAGAAGGAGAGGGAGAAACAGACCCGGAAAGAGGGGGAAGCAGTCAGGGCCAGGGAAAAGGAGGGAGAGAAACAGAATCTGGTGGGAAACACCAAAGCCAGGGGTAAGAGAAGGAAAGACGGAAAGCAGGACAGGGGCAGTCACACCTGAAGCCAAGATTTTGGCAGATCCCCACCCTGGGCTTCGAAGGCAGGGCTACAACCAGTAGGTGGGAGAGTCCTGGGTCAGTTAAACTGTTATCTAAGGGACAGAGCTGCCCCTGCAGGACTAGGCAGCCAGGAGAGATGCAGAGCACCCGGGTTTGGGGTGGTGACGATCCCAGGCCCACCTGGGGGTTAGCTGCAGAGGGGAGCACTAGGGAGAGGTGTGATCCGGGGTCTAGAAGACCAGCAGGAGCACCACACCTGGGCAGAGGCCCTGCCCTACCTGATCCCGTGCACACATGGCAGCTCTACGCAGATGTGCACTTACGTGCCCAGCAGTTGCAGGGGTCTCCAGGTGTGTGCACCAACAGCCAGAATGGGGCTCAGGAAACATGCACACACAGCCTATAGACTGTGCGTACACCTGCCTGCAACATCCTGCACGCTGACTGCAGGTACCTGTGGCAGTGTGCTGATGCTCATGGGAGGGTACAGGCAAGAGCTTGTCCACAGGCCCCAGACCACCAGGGCCTCAGGAGCCAGGATGGATGTGGGTCTGGCTGTGCACAGAGATGCGTGGACACGTGAGTACACATCCTCAGATGCATGCATGAGTGCTAGTGGCCACACAGCCTCAGGCATCTGCATATCTTCCTGCGTATCTGAATGTGTGCACTCGCACGTATGTGTTCTCATCCTACCAGTGTGATCACACGGACAGTGGACACCGGCGCCCTACACTCAGCCCCTGGCCTCGTGCACACACTCCTGAGCCCATGCCCACCCTGTCTCCTCTGCGCAGGGGGCGAGTACTTCAGTGATGAGCAGATGCGGTTCCGGGCCCCGCTGCTGTACGAGCAGTACATCGGGCAGTACCTCACCCAGGAGGAGCTCAGCGCCCGTGCCCCGGCCCACCAGCCCCCCAAGCCTGGCTCCCATGGCACACCCACCTGCCCGCTCTCCGACCTGCTGCTCCAGTCCTACCAGGAGCGGGAGCTGCAGCAACGGTTGCTCCAGCAGCAGGAGGAGGAGGAGGCTTGCCTGGAGGAGGAGGAAGAGGTGGAGGACAGTGACAAGGAAGGTGAGAGCCAGCAGCGGGGAGGCCTCAGTATCTGAACTCAACAGTCCTGGGCCTGCACAACTTCCCCACTCATGGCACCAGGCTGGGCCCCACCTGCAAGAGCAGACAGCGAGTCCCTCCCCTGCCTGACCCAGGTGCCCTCTGTGCTCTTGCCCTTCCCCACTCCTCAGAAGCACCCAGTGATCCCTTGCTTCCAGGCCTTTGCTCCTGTCTTCCCCTGTGCCAGGAGTGCCTTCCCTTCACCACCTTTCAGGTGTCCAGTCCTGGCCCTACTCTGCAGCCCCCAGAGCACGGATTGTCATGTGTTTGGCGTGTGCTCCGGGAAGGCAGGGATTGGAGCCTTTTTGGTCATTGCTGTGTTCCCAGTGCCACCCAGCACCAAGGAAGCAGCTGTCTCTGGACTGTGTCCAGCACCTACCTGAGTGCATATACTTCAAACACCCCCAATGTGGGTGTCTCCCTCTGCAGACCAGAGCCCTGGCAAAGACTCAGAGGCCTGGGTCCCTGACTCAGAAGAGAGGCTGATCTTGCGGGAAGAGTTCACCAGCCGGATGCACCAGCGCTTCCTGGACGGCAAGGACGGGGACTTTGACTACAGGTGCTCCTCTGCCCCTGCCTCCCTGTCCCCCCAAACCGGCACTTCACAGTCCTGAGCCACATGCCAGGCCCCAGGCCCCTCCATAGAGGGCCTCCCATCATGGTGCTGGAAGGCCCCAGAACAGTTCCAGGTCAGATAGCCTCAGGGTTTCGGATCAGCCGAAGATCAGTGGGTGACTTGGACTAGTGTGTCCATCTGAGAGCCTCAGTCCTCTCCCCAAGTGTAAGGAGGGAATGAGCAGGGCTGATGTGCAGCTCAATACGGACACAACGTTGAAACACTTCCCCTTGGGCAAGTGGGTGGCCTGGCAAGATGCCGCTCTCCCTAGGCCTCACAGGTGTCCCCAGGACCCCAGACCTTATGCTGCAGGGAATTAGCCCCGGCCGAGCTAATGTGTGGCAGGGAAGGGCCTGTGGCAGCCACCCCCGCAGTGCTGGTGGGTGACTTCCCCAGTACAGCGCCAGGGCGAAGCTCACGGGCCGCCTGCTTTGAAAGGGATTTTGCCTTCAGGGAGAAGGACACAGGTGAAATAGCAAAATAAAAAATAAGTGGCCTTGTCAGCTGAGGAGGGCTTTCACCTGTGGTGCTGAACGCTGGTGGGGCAGCAAAGGCCCTGGTTTCAAACCCAGCTCTGATGCCATGTGAACGAGCAGGCCTCGGGGGGTACAGCAGCAGCCTGGGGTCGTGACTGCCACTGCCCCGAGCAGCACCAGTGACAAAACATCACTGGCTCGATCTGGACTCAGCCTGGCCGATCCACTTCCAGCTGGGGCCAACCTTGTAGGCCGAGTGCCCTCAGAGCAGTGAGCAGAGCGCCTGGGCCGAGGGAGCCCTCAGCGAGGACACCGGGCCTGTCTGCGAGGACCAGGGAATGGTGGGGACCGAAGCCTGCTGCCTCTGCAGAGGACACGGCTGGCCAGCGGCGCCGAGTGGTCCCTCATCATGCCTGCTGTGTCCAGGCTCTGGGGATAAAACAAGGAACAAAACTGATGAGGGGGCTGCCTGTCCTGAAGGGGGTCCCCCTAGAGTGAGGAAAACAAGCGCATAGTGTTTAGTGATGATGGGTCGTGAAGAGAAAAGGAGGGCAGGTGACAGGGTGGGCAGGGGAGGCCCCCTGAGCAGAGGCCCACGGGGAAGCGAGGCGTCAGTGACATACCTGGGGGAAGAGGGTTCTGGCAGCGGGGGAAGCAGAGGGAGCAGGAGGTCCCGTCGGAGGGGACAGGGCGTCCTGCGTGGAAGCGAGCTTGGTGAGAGCTGGGGCGGGGGGGGGTTCAGGGTCACTTGTCACCTTAGGGCGATTTCTGGGCCTCAGCGCTGTTGATCTTAGGGCTGTGAAATTCGGGGGGTGGGGGCTGTCCTGTGTGCACTAGGGTACTGAGTAGTACCCCTGGTCTCCACCCACTAGGTGCCAGTAGCAGCCCCCCAGTTGGGACAAGCAAATGTCCTCGGGGGGCCAAACCTTCCTGGGTGAGAACCTGTGTCACCGCTTCACATCTGCCAGCTTTTCAAGAGAAACCAGAAGTTTTTATGTAAAATCCCTGATTTGGGAAATGTTTTTTGTTTGAAGCCCTGACAGACCCCCTCCAAGTGTTACCTGGGACTTAGAGCTGCCAGCATGTGGCCTTCGACTTAAGGGGGCCTGAGCCACGGCCCCAGCTTCTCAGAGGTTGAGGAACTGAGCTGGGGACCAGGCCCAGGCGGAGCAAGCCCCTGACAGCTCCCTCCCTCTGCAGCACGGTGGACAATAACCCTGACTTCGACAACCTGGACATCGTGGCCCGGGATGAGGAGGAGAGGTACTTCGATGAGGAGGAGCCTGAGGATGCGCCCAGCCCAGAGCCAGATGGAGACTGATGGTCCCACCACCCTCCCTGCCCCGACCCAAACAAGGCAGCTGGGGGAGGCTGGCTCAGAGACTTTCTCCAGGGCCCCCTGTGCAGCGGTCCCCACCACCAGCCTCACGGGGTCTGGTCCCATCTGAGGCTGCCCCTCCCCGGTGTCTGCAGTTCTCTTCCTTCCCCCGCATCCAGCCTTGCTTCCCTGTCTCCATTGCTGTCTCCCTGGGTTTCTTTCTCTGTCTTTTGGTCACTTTTTCCCCGCCTTTCTGTCTCCTGCTTTCTGTGTCTCCTCTCCACCTCATCCTTTTTTCCTCACCACCTCTCTGTTCCTCCCCCTCTCTGTGCTTTGGCCTCTGTCCCCACTACAGGGTGAAGGTCCTCCCCTTGATCAAGGCCAGCAGGGCCCTTTGTAGCTAGAGCTGGCCAGGTTGACACCAGTACCCAACTTGGGGTCGGGCTGACCCTTGGGCCCCAGAGCAGCTCGCCCTCTCCCCCCTCCCGGCCTCTGCCTCTGCCATTGACCTGTCCTGTTTGTGCAGAGCTCTCCTTGCCTCCGTTCTGCTCCCTTCTGTCTTTCAGCCTTGTGGGCCTGTGGTTCTTCCTGCCAGTCCACTGTGACCTCGGCCTCAGGCTGTCTCTGTGTCTCAGCCTTTATCTCTCTGGGTCTCAGTGTCGCCCCCACTGTGCCTGCTGAGCGGGACCTCACTGCAGGTTGGGGGAGACCAGAGGTGGCCACAGATGCCACCTCCCCATCGGGACCCTGGCCTGGGAGGGGAGAGCAGGTACAGCACTGGGTACCATGGGCCGCCAGCTAGGGTGTGTGGGGAGGGGAGGGGAGCTCTCCTCTCCCAGCCCACGGCCCCCCTCTGCCCAGCCACAATTTTCCCTTCGTTCACTTCCTTCACCTCCCCTGTTTACACTCCCCAAATACTCACAGGCTGTTATCATGGGTCCTGAGTCATCCCACACACACAGGCTGCCCCTCGTCTCTGCCCCCGGCCAGCCACAGGGCCCGCCCCACGGAGCCCCCTGCCTCCCCAGGCTAATGAGAGCCAGATGGCCGCCTGGTGACTCAGCCACCGGCCTGTGGGAACCCAGGCGTCCCGCCTTCCCATGCCCCCACACCCAGCTCACGCTCCCCTAGTAGACACACATGGAAAAGGGTCAGGGAGGTGGGGCACGTCTCAGTCCTGAGCGCAGGGGCGGGGGCGTCCTTCCACAGCCAAGCCTGAAGGGCCCTCCAGGCTGCCTCTGGGCACATGGTCCAGACTGAGCAGAGACCCCAGGGCCTCCTGGGGCCATGCTCTTAACCCCTGGGTCTCAGCTCTGCCCTCCGGGTCAACCAGGATTAGAGCCAGACACAGAAAGTGAAAGCTGGATGGGGCCAGGGGACATTCGAGCTGTTCAGTGAGACTTAAAAAAAAGGCAGGTTGTGGTTTATGAGCACTTTTATTTTGTGCCAAGCTCAAGCAAGGTGCCTGAGGCCACATCGAGTCCTCCAGGCATCCTTCACCAGGGATTCAGCTCGTGGAGCGCGCCGGGGAGGCCCAGGAAGGAGGGTGGCCATCAGAGATGGAAATGCAGGGCTAGAACCGCAAATCCTAGAGAGCCTTCTACTAGCCTGCCTGCCAGCTGTCAGGCCTCTCAGAGCGGACAGGTGACAGACATCCTCAGGTGGGAAGGTGGGAGAAGAGTTAGCTGCTGGTGATGCAGTGGGGGCCCTCCTGTCAGCACACAGACGTGACTGAATCCTCCTGATGGAGAAGTTGGTACTTGAATCACAGACATCCCAGGGTCCTGCGGGCTGCATGCTATCAGTGTTGATGGCCCACCTCCCAGAGGAGGCCCGAGACAACAGCCAGGTAGACTTACGGGAGAGGCCTTTGTCTCCTGGGACTTGTGCTCGGGGCACTCAGGTTGTGGGCATGCTTGTATTACAGGCATCCATGCACATTTTTCACCATCTTATCATTCGATCATTAAATTCGTGATATACTTTGCCATACATAAATATGTTTTGTTTCTTAAGTGATGAGGGACCGTGGTTGAGTAAGAATTAGGGTGAGTCAGATGGTGAGGCGGGAGTGTCTAGCTGAGACAGAGGTGGAGCTGGTCAAAAGGGACAGGGAGAGACACATCCCCCAGGTCACAGCCTAAGAGCAGCTGAGACCTGGAGGTGTCCGACTGGCCTGTCCCTCGCTCCCAGTTCTGGGGTTGGGGTGGGTGGAGAGGCTGAGTCAGGGATGGAGGGCCCTGCGGCGGGAGAGCCCCTCCTTGCACATCCGGCCCCCGCCCCCAGTCTCCTGTCTGTCCTCCTGGGCCCTGCTGGCCGCTGCCCCCACCCCTCACCCCCCACGTCTGACACCTCTGTGGGTCGTGCCAAAGCTGACGCGGACGACTCCCCACCTCTCCTCCACTGCCTGACTGCTCTGTCCTTTGTCCACTTCTTCCTCTGCTCCCCACTCTCACCCTTCCATTGTCTCTGTACCCCTCTGGCTGACACTGCCTCCCTTCAGTCCCTCCTGTTCCTCCTCGTTCTTCCTGGGCCCTGTCTCCTCTCTCTCCCTCGTCATTCCCTGCTTCTTGGACGTGAGCTCCTGTCACTGTCTAATGACCCCATTTCCCCCGCCTTTCTATCGGGGCCTCCCCTCACTGTCCCTCCTGCTCCTCTTCACCCTCATTGTTTCCTGTTCCTCTCCCTGCTGTCTCTCAGCCCAACCCCCTCGCCCCATCTCTGTCTCTGTTCCGCTTCTCTGGCTCCCGAACCCTGGGAAGCCCAGAGGGGATGTCCAGGTTAGGGGTTCACTGGTGGCCCCTGGGAGCCCAGAATCAGAGGTGGCCCCCAGCCAGAAAGGGGACAGGAAGGGGCAGTGAGGTTGCAGCCTGTCTGGGCAGAAGGAAGTGTCTGTGCTGTGGCCTGGTCACCACCCCCCAAACTGGCCCCCAGGACCTGCCGGGCTGCCGCCACCCCCAGACTGGGACAGAGTAAACACCGCCGCCGGCAGCCCAGGATATTTATACCAAGGGCTGGGCGTGGGTCCAGTGCCCACCGCAGCCCCTGCCCTGCCCTGCCCGCCACAGCCAGCCCCGAGCCAGCGTGGCACCAGTCAGCGAGGGGACAGGCCACAGAAGCAGCCTCCACTCAGCACCGAGGCCACCAGGCATGTTGCCCAGGATGCCAGTGGCTTCACTGAGGACTCACAATGCCCCCGTCCCCTAAAAACACCAGTACAAAATGCTCATGAACATGTACACACACCCCCCACTGAGAACTTGAAATGCCCTTGAGGGCAATGCGAAATAGAAGCCCACGGCAGCTCACAGACTGAGGGCACCGGTCCACGTGCAGGGACACCATACAGATGCCACCTGCTCACAGACATTAAGAACACCAGTCCCGGGATGGGCGCACTCACACACACACACTAGGAAAATGACAGCAAGCGTGCTGGAGAGACACTCCATGGACACAACATGCTCAACACCAGCCACACACACACTGGTCCCAAAGTGCACCCAGAAACAGCTCGCCCTCGGACTGTGAATCGGCACACGCTGAAAACAGCCCCTACAAGAAAACACACAACACCTCCCCCGGAAACACCTTTCTCGCGAACACACAAACATACACAGAAAACACATTTCAAGTCAAATTTACACTAAGGATGCACACTCATACCCAAAAAAGAAGAGCAAAAATAATAAGGAAAAATTCAGACACACAACATGCCCCAGGCATATGACCCACTTGTACACACAGACCTCCCAAGTCACATGTGTCAGGACACAGAGCCTAGAGAGCACACCAATTTGTGCAGCGGACGCACGGACCAGGAGTGCAGCAGTCACCAGCTACGGACTGGAACACGTGCTGGGAATACCCAGCACAGCCCCCAGGTACCCAGCTGGTGTGTAAAGAGACCCCCGTGCTAGACACAGAACTCACACCACAAAGCTTGGGGGCACATTTACAAAGGTGTCCTGAACACATTCAAATTGACGTTAAAAGCACAAGAGACTGACACTCAGGATGTCTAGAGATTTAGGGAAAAAGGGGTTGGGGTGTGTGTGTGGGTCTGTCTGCCTCTGTCTCACCCACTGACCCCAGTCGCAGGCCTGTCTGGGGGAGGGGCAGGAAGGCCTGAGTTGGCCTCCCCCGGCCCTGCTTCCTGCCCTGTGGGGGCTGGATAGGAAGCTGGGGCTCCAGCCGGAACCCAGGCTCCCCCCACGACTTCCCGGCCTGCCCAGAGGCGGGGGCGGGGAGCAGGGCCCCCCGAACCCCAGGCCTGCCCCTGTGGTTGGTTGGGGGCCTGAGCTGCCTCATCCCTACAGGGCCTGGCCACCCTGGGGAGCAGGGGAAGGGCAGGCGCTGTGCCCACGTGGGGAGAAGGTGCTGAGCCTTCAATTTCCTTCAAGGCAGCAGGCAGGTGGGCGGGGTGTGTCACGAGGGAGTGGCCAGGGCTCAGGCACCGGGAGTGTGAGTGAATCCTAGCGTGCAGCCAGGACTTGTCCTGGGGCCCAGGCACGAGCTGGGCGTGTGAGGGCCGCGACCCCGGAGGTGTGTCTGGGTGTGTGGGACTGCTCCGTCTGGGACCCAGGGTGTGACCGTGTGTCTTGCTATGACGGGTTGGCTGCTGTCTGCAAAGTCGCGTGGGACTCCCCAGGCCTGAGTGTGTGGGGCCATGAAGTGTCACACGGAGTGGGCACGACCGCCTGGCAGTCCGTGTGATCGTGACGTGTCAGATCTCTCTGTTGTGGTGGGACTGACAGGTCAGGTTGTGTGCGTGTGTATTGTATATGCCCGTTTGTGACTGTGACGCCATCCATGGGGGACGTTTGTGTAACTGCTGATGGGTCTCTGCCAGAGCCTCTGTTTCATTTCCTTATGCTGTGAGGTGTGTGTCTGTGTGGCACTCTCAGTCTGTGGTGTTTGATGGTTGTGAGCATGACGCTACAGGATGTATTTGTGTGGGTGTGTTTTGCTATGTCCCCATTGAAGTCTTTGCTTGTGTAGGGTCCCACTGCGGCTCCAGACTGGGCTGTGTGGATGTAATGGGGTGGCACTCGGTGGCTGTGCCTGCTGCCAGGTGTCCTGCAGGAGTTTCAGTGTGTTCATTGTGGCTCTGAGAGGTCAATGTGTTTGCGTGGCTGTGGGACACCATCCATATTTCAACCCCTGTATGTGTGAATATGTGCACACATGTGCCACATCCTCACAGGGCTGCAGTGAGTCACTACCTTTTCAAATATTTCCACACAGGAGGCCAGTGGCAATGGCTCCATGTCCTTGCAGGGTGAACACCTGCTCCCACCCCACTCCACCCTCTCTGGCTCCCAGACCTGTGGCGGAAGGAGTAGCCGTGTTGCTACCCTCGGCTGGGCTGGGCTGGGCTGGGCTGGGCTGGGAGGACCCCGGGGCCCCATACTCACACAGCCCTCCCCCAGGGCACTTGTGGGCAAGGGAGCAGCCCAGGGCCGGGGACCTGGGAAGGGCAGGGGAGAGATGGAGGATTTGAAACCTGGGAGGAAGAGGGGAAACCAGAGAAAGAGGAACCAGGGAGGAGTTCACAGGCAAGACCCAGCAGATGAGAAGAAACAAGGCCCAGAGGGAAACCCGCCCTGGTGCAGGGCACCAGCATCTCTCGCCTGGACCACTGTTCTCCCTGCAGTCACCTGCACCCCCATCAAGCTACTCTCAACCGTCAGCCGGAGGGACCCTCTGAGCGCCTGAGTCAAGTCACACCCCTCCTGTATATGGAACCCTGCCATGGTCCCCATCCCCCCGCCCCCAGTGCAGCTTCTCGCAGGTTCTCACAGGTTCCCTCCCCTACCAGGCCGATGCCCTCTGGGAAGCAGTCGGTCCCAGTGCAGAGACCCTGGATTCCCACCGCCGCCCAGTTTGCCCCCCAGCTCTGCTGCTTGTTAGCTAACAAGTGACCTTTCTGTGCCTCAGTATTCCCAGTTATAAAGTGGTCCCTATAGCAGGAGTTGGCAAGGTTTTTCTTTAAAGGGCCAGATAGCAAATATTTTTGACTTCGCATAGTTTCTACTTGACTTTGCCCTTGCAGAACTAAAACAGCCAGAGATGATCCGATTCATGGCTGTGCTCCAATATATCTTTATTTACAGAAACAGGCAGCAGGTCAGAATTTGCCTGCGGGCCATAGTTTGCCAACCCCTGCTCTGCTGTGCTGTGGGGAGAAGGCAGTGAGCTGGTAGATTCATACCTGGCATGGAGGATTGTTATTACTCTCTGGCCTGTGAGTGTAACTATCTGACTCAGCTCCCAACACCCTTCCCCTTGCCCCTCCCTTCAACCACTCTGGCCTTGTTCTTCCCTCCCTCACCCCAAGTTTATCCTCACTTCCAGGCCCTTCCTTCTGCTTCCTACCAAGAACACTCTCCCTCATCCTCCCCCAAGCTGCCTTCAAGTCCCAAATGCCACCTCCTCCAAGAAGCCCTCCCTCCTCCATCTCTCACTCCATCCTGCTTCCCTGTCTTCATGCCATTTACCATGCCAGTCGGTTCCCCAGAAAGTAGGTTCCTTGTGGGAAGGAACTACTCCCTTAACTTCTCTGGACTTCAGTTTCCTCACCTTTAAAGTGGGTGTTATTAGAGGTCCCAGTGTCTCAGAGTTTTGTTATGGTGATTAAATGAGTTAATTAACAGGCACTTAGAACAAGACCCAAGGTGCTCAATAAATAAATCTAGTGTTTACCAGGAGTACATGCACCGTAGGAAGTGCTTGGGAAGTGTCTGAGGAGGGGCAAATGAATAGGGAAAGAGACCGGAGGCGGCAGATGGAGCGGCGGGAGTCCCGAGAGAGCCGGTCGGGCTCCCAATGACACAGAGACCCCAGTCCTCTCTCCACTTTTAATGGGCCCCCTGGTGGGCTTGGGGGGCGGTGTCCTTAAATACAGCCCGGCTCGGCGGGCAGGGGTTGGGGCCGGGCCTGCCGGGGGGCGGGGCCTGGGGGCGAGGCCTCAGCTGCACTTGCAGGAGCGCACGATCATGTTCGACAGTTGCTCCACCTTGGGCTTGCGGCCCACGTAGTACACGATGGGCAGCGGCTCCAGCGCCTGCGGCACGCAGCATGGCGCTGCCGACGCGCCC